GTGTGTATATATGTATGTGTGTGTGTGTAACTGTAATTTATTTTAGAAATAGATCTATATGACCAAAATTCATATTCAAAATTCATACGCAGTACAAATAATGTGATCGTACATAATCAAATAACAGTTATTAGTATAAATCTTGAGCGTCCAAAACAATTTTTTTACAAACATGTGCAGAATTCTATATATGTTTGAAGATTATATATGTGTATGTACATGTATGTGTGTATATATGTATGTATATGTATATGTATATATGTATATGTGTGTGTATATATACATGTATATGTGCGTGTATGTGTGTGTGTGTGTGTGTGTGTGTGTGTGTGTGTGTGTGTGTGAATATAATATTGTAAAATCATGATATCGAGAGTATAATTAAACGTAGTTTAAAATTTTCGAAACTGCTGTAGTTTATACTGCATAATAGTCTATATAATACTATTATGTTTATATTTATTAAAAAAAAAAAAAAAAAATGAAACTTAGCAAATAGTACATAAATTTATACATATGTGCATGTACCAATTCTAATTATTCATGAATAATTATAATTATTATTTGTAAAATTATTCTTTTTTCGTTAGCGTCATACATTACTTTAGTTGCTGAATTACTTATATACAAAGTATTAAAAAAAGGTCCCAGATTTACAGAATATATAGTATTCATTATATTGGATAAAAAATGCTTAGTAAATATAGCAAATATAGATCGAAAAATACACTTTTTCAGAGTTATAGACATTTTTAATTTTGGTAATGTATGTTATTCGTATAGTTTAATTGATTATGCGCGGTAAATAAACAAACGAATATTATATCATATTATTACTTTGATGCTTATGAAAGATGGAGCTCCACTCCAATTTATATTAATTGACGGATAGTATTTAAATAGGAAATATGCCGAAAGATGGATTGGATAGAGTAGACAGATTGCATGATCTTCTCGATCTCCCGACTTAAATCCGTTGGATTTTTTTCATGGATATATGAAAAACTGTTTATTTACATCCATAAATAATATACAGGGTGTCTACAAAATACCGGACCCCCCGGATAACTTTGCAGGATCAAATTTTCATGAAAAACTTTAAATACAAAAGTTGTAGGAAATCGAGTAATGGACTTGATGGTGACCTTGAATTTGACTTTGGCCATGACTTTCAAGGTCATTTGTCATTTTATTATACTATTTTTTTCTACCAATTAATTTGAACAACTTTTGTCGAAAACATTTTTTTATTTGCCTAATATTTTTTGAAATATTTAAGGAAAACTTGATAATTTTTTCAATATTTAACTTACGATATCTCGCTAACAATATATCGGGAGAAAAAATGGTACTAGACTTTCTTGCTTTATTTAGTCTCAAGAATATATTGTTATAATAGTGCCCTGACTTTTGTGAACTTACTGACTTTTGGAAATTTCAAAATCACCAAATTAACAAAAATCGCGGCACTATTGTAACAATATATTCTTGAGATTAAATAAAGCAAGAAAGTCTAGTACCACTTTTTCTTCCGACAAATAGTTAGCGAGATATCGTAAGTTAAATATTGAAAAAGTTAATATCTCAAAAATATCTAAAAAAATATTAGACAAATAAAAAAATGTTTTCGACAAAAGTTGTTCAAATTAATTGGTAGAAAAAAAACAGTGTAATAAAAAATAGAGGTTCCCATTTAAGTTTTTCAAGTTGACCTCCAAATGACTTTGAATGTCATGGCCAAAGTCAAATTCAAGGTCACCATCAAGTCCATTACTCGATTTCCTACAACTTTTGTATTTAAAGTTTTTCATGAAAATTTGATCCTGCAAAGTTATCCGGGGGGTCCGGTATTTTTGAGACAGGGTGTATAAGAATTATACATCAGTAAATTCAAGATGCAGTTGACCAAATTCGAAAATCAGAAATTTTTGAAAGAGTGCCATTTTTTAATTCGAATATTTTAAGCGTAGAAATGAAAGGAGAGTACGTATACAGAACACTTATTAGAAACTAAGTAATAATAAAATAATATGATAAAGATATTCGTTTATTTACCGCGTATGATCAATGGAAGCACACAAATAACTTACGTTATTAAAATCGGAAAATTTTAACATTATTGATTTTTCAACTTATTTTTACACAGCACTTTTTACACAATATAATGAATACTATTTATTCTGTAAGTCCAGAACCTTTTTTTGAACTCTCTGCATACATGCGTGTATACACATATGTACACACCCACACACACACACACACGCACACGCACGCACGCACGTACGCACACGGACACGCACGCACGCACGCACACAGGGAGAACACCTAAAATAGGTCACCTGAATAACTTGTATGCTATGCATTGTATGAAAAATAGTTATGTATAAAAATTGTATGGTTTTGAGGGAGTCGATAGATAGCATATGCATTTTTTTTGTAACTGTAGGCATTTCGGAGACTTGAAGATCAACTTTTACTTTTTTATACGAAACTGCTCTAATTTTTTTATATAGATTCCTTGTAACATTTTGTGTAAAAAGTTATAGAGATAATATGGTCACAAATTAAATGGAGATATTTTATATCTTAATCTGATATTAACTTTTTACATAGAATGTTATGAGGAATCTATTTACCTAAAATAATTAAAGTAGTTCTATATAAAAAAAAAATATTCCTAATGGTATTCCTCAAGAGGAAAAAAAGTTAATTTTCAAATTTCCCAAACACCTCCATTTATAAAAAAAATACATATATTATTTAATAACCCCCCTCTTCCAAAACCATGCAATTTTTGTATATAATAATTTTTCACACATCGCATAATTTGTAAATTATTCAAGTAGCCTGTTTTAAATGCCCTGTATATATATATATATATATATATGTATGTATGTATGTATGTATATATGTATGTATGAATGTGTGTATGTACATGTATGTATACAATATATATTGATATTGAAAGTATCTCTTTCGCGTTTCGCGCGCACATGTGCGGGCATCGACACACATACACTCACAATACTTTTAGCGTTAATGTTATATTTTACGCCTTGTAACATTTTGCGATCCATGGTCCACGTGTTGAGCCATATCCTCATTGGTTCCAATATATCGATAACATAATACATAGTCACGCATTTGCTGCTATTTTCCTGGTTACATAATGTTTTCGGTTATATTTTTTACATTAAGATGTGCAAAATTAAATATGTACTTATATAATACATTCATAAAGTCAACGTTGTTAAACCGCAACGGTACAATTTTGTTAGTAGACTGCGATATCGAAATAAGCACAACGACATCATGCCGTGGACGAAGCATAACGTTGAAACAGGCGCAACGGAGTCACTTCGTCGATGGACCGCAAAGTGTTAAGGCTTCTAAGTGCTTGCCGCAACTATATTAGATAGTGATGTCAAAGGCGAGAAATGATATTAAAAATTCTTATGTACTATTTTCAAATAAAAAAATATTTATATAAAAAATTAGTTGAAGTCGCTAGAGCATATTTGTAAAATGCTACGTATTTTACACTTATCCCTTCATAATTAGTCACAACCATAAAATGACTATAATATGAAGTTTAGAGTCATATGCATGTGCAATCATTCCATATGACCAATTTTATGTTATAGTCATTCTACGGCTGTTTATTAACTTTTAAAAGAGAAGCATAGTATTTGGAGCATTTTACAAATATATTCTAGCGACATAAAACATTCTTTCATACGTATCATTCTTTCATAAGTACCTATTTACTTGGAAATAGCACGCAAGAATTTTGAGCATGCGTTAGCTTTTGATGTCATCAACCAAGAATTCCGCGACGAAAGACCAGGGCCTTAATTGCATTAATATATTTGCTATCTTACAATAGTATTTTTTTTTGCATATTATGCATATATATTGATATTTGATAACTTAAATCGAGCTTGCGGTCGGATGTTTCTCAGTCAATTTTACTTATTGCTATCCCTATTCCTCTCATTTGTAGCACCCAGGCTGCGCATAGTAAAATGTTTGTGCTGAAGAATGATATTTGCTCAGTTATATTCGAGACAATATAGCTGAAAATCATACAGGGCTTTGATGCATATTAACTCGCGCGCTGTGTTTACTATTGTTTATGTGTTTACTATTTAAGAAATTATTATTGTTATTATCGTTGTTATTGTTGTTGTTATTAATATATTATAAAGTTAATAAAATTAATATATTATAAAATTAAAAAGTAACACTATAATAGAGCATATATTAATTTTGTGTGTATATATAATTCAAAGTCTATTAATATAAGTTTATTATATAATAATATAATAAATTTATATACAAATTTTCAAATATGTACACAGACATACACAAAATAAATATACATGTCCCATTTTAATATTACTTTTAACTTATAACATCCTAATAATGATCATAATAACAACTTTGTAAACAGTAAACATTTAATGTGCGAGGTAATATACATCAAAGATTCATATGATTTTTAGTAAATTATCCTTAAGTGTCTTACGTCTCTCCGAATAGCCTAGATGCTACAAAATAGAAATGGCAATAAAAAATCAGCCAAAAAATATAACTCTGCCACAAGTCTGACTTAAATAAAAAGCTATCGCAGCATAATTGGTACATTTTAAAAGGATTAATAATATTCGTGATATTTATATGTGAATTTTCAATATGAATTCTGTTTTGTATTTGAATATTTATCGAAGTTACATTATGCTGGTGTATATTATTCAGCAAATACTTTATTATTTATATAAACTTTGCAAGCCCAGCTTACCTTCGTCAAATGCACTTTTAGGTTTGTTTTATCTATATACGAAATTGTTGCTTATATCCATAGTGGTACAAGTGAGTCAATAAATTATTAATAAAAAAGATTATAAAACCTGTATTCCATCTATTCAATTTCCATCTATCTTCCAAACGGCGATTTTTCTTTCGTTTTAAAAAGGACAATTGATATACATTGTTTTAAATCGGTGTCACTTATTGCTTGATATATTTGAAGTGCGGCAACATTTAGTTTTTTCAAATATATATTGGAAGGAAAGATAATACTTTCCGCTATTATTGGACTCGTATTAGCAACTATTACACGACTGGGACAAACAATTAATTCGTAAGTATAATTATACGATAAAATAGATATATTAAACACGTATAACATGACACTAAATTGTAAATGGTAGATGGGATAATTTGGAAACAGGCTGTACTTCATAAAAAATCGGGCTTTCTCATAAATGGTAACTATCATTATTTTTATATTCCGCGAACAAAACTAGTATTATTTAATTATTCTGTGTACTTACTTTTTAAGATCAATAACACACGGATTAATTATAAATTGTAATATGGTTTGCAACAAATAACTTTCTTTTATAGCATTTATCGCATACTTCCTTTAGAGATAACTGAAGTGCTGCACGAACGCGAACAAAAATAAAGTTACTACATTACAATAATTATAAATTAATCACGTTGATATAACTTATCTTTTTGTTTTCACGTTAGTTAGGCGTATAAATTAAGAATTTAAGCGGAGTCTACAATAGAAGTCGCAAAGTCCTAAGTCATAAGAAAATTAACCAATCGCAGTCGATTATTCTCTTTACAACCGAATAATCGAACCGTAATTGAACAATTTTTGTACGACTTTACGATTTCTATTGTACATCTCGCTTTAATATTTGTATCAATTGTACATAAGTCGTATGAAGCGGTCTGTTAATTCGTTCTCGTGCTCTGTTCATTTACCTATTTATATTATTGCCCATCTTCGTTAATGCTATGTATGACATGTTCAAGCATCTTTATCCATTGTAAAATTATCTATATACTGTACTGTGCAATTGCACAATTTCTATCATACAAGCAACAAATTATTAATTAGTACTTATAAATCATATATTATAACTGCCAATACGAGTCTGTGAATTGTTCAGTCGCATATTTTGCTGAATGCGTGCGCGTGTGTATGTTATACATATATGTATATGCGTGTGTGTACACACACACACACACACATATATACATATACACAACACGTTTCTTTTAATCTGTAAATATATTCAAGCTAGCGAACTTGATAGCCTAGAGAGTTATGCGTGTCTTCCGCGGTCGTATTTATCTTTTTCTTTTCTTTTTTACATATGCGCACGGCAAAGTATGAGGTGCAATTCTGTATGCTGTGTGTGTGTGTGTGTGTGTGTGTGTGCGCGCGTGTGCATATGTGTAACAAGTCTGAATGTGTGAGCTGCGTGGACGGCGCTACATACATCATTCTTCGGTCAGTCAACCACTGACAGATTAGTAGTTGACTATCGTCAGTATTACTCGGACACCCGGCTATTCTGCTGGGAGCTTTTATTGTGCCTCGCTCACGTCAATATATACCGTTGTATTATCTATAAGAAATAAACAGGGCGATAAATCGAATATCAAATTTTTAAGAGGTGGTTTTTTATTTTAATATTACAACATTCAAATCCTTTGAGCATACCTGCATACAGATGTGCTAGAGTTTATCTTGGAATAGGAAGAGATTGTTCGTAGCAGCTACAGCCACCACATTTTCAGATGGATGCCATGCGGTATGAAGTATTTTCTTATTAAAGTCCAAACAGTCGACACTGATTTCATCCTTCTTGCGTTTACCACCGGTGCATACCTTTTACATGGAATCATAAGTCTTCATCCTGAGTCCAAATCCAACATAGTGAAATAAGACAGAATTTTATATTAAATATGCTAACCTTTCTTGGTTTAAGGAGTGTTTTTGGTTTGGCAATGTCACGTGCTGCCTCCAAAGTAAGATCGCGTTTGGTTGTACGATCAAATACTCTAAAGAAATTGTTGTATGAGCCCGTCATAATAGCAGAATCGTTACCACTCCAACAACATTCAAACTTATCGAAAATGCAGTCATTTTCATATAATGAACATAACTTTGATCTTAAATATTCATGTACCTGTTGCAAAAAAATTATACTGATGAATATATAGTATAGATGTGAATATAGATGATAGATTTTTATAAGAGCGTTTTTTTTTAAAGAAGTATATATATATATATGTCTGTATATATATGTATACATACATACATACATACATGTATATATATATATACTATAAAGACAAAATTATTATAAAAAAAGCGTGATTAATAAATTTAATTCTGCAAGGAAAGAAACTATTGTCTCTTCTGGATTGCAGACTTACAGGATAACATTCAATTGGCTTTGTCTCCATTTGTAAATCCCACACTTTTACACTGAGGTAGTCTCTACTAATCATGTATCTCCCAGAATTACTGAGTTTTACATCACTTATGCTTGAAATAATTTCTGAGAAAAAACTCCTATTAGTCGGATCTTCAGGTTCTTCGAAGAGTTTACTATGCTGATCGCAAAGAGCGGCAGATCTCATATCGCAAAGTCTAATAGTTCCTTTGCTACTACTATATACCAATACATTGCATTCTGCTGGATGAAATTCTGCTGCAGTTATGACTTCTGTTAATTCCTCCATATTAGTTGGCTTAATGTCTACTATATCTGTATGTTGCGGTTAGGAAAATTACATTTTTAAATAAAATATATTGATATCTTATCCTGTAACAAATTAGATTGTAATATCAGTACATATCAAAAAAGGATACTAAAACTCTGGTCTGTTATCTCAAGGTGCCAAAGATTAATTCTAAGATCATCAGCACTGAGGTATGTCTCTTGATCACTGTTGACACTTATACTGTTTATGTGATAGGTGTGCGCATTGGCAAATATTCTCCTTGGTGATGCCTCTACCATCAACTCCATTGGTTTTATGGTTGGCACCTGTATATTAAACACCTTATTTTATTTTATAATTATAACTACTTTATAATTACTTTATAATTATAAGTATATTATGATCAATATTTTATGTAATGATCAATAATTGAGATTCATCTCATAACATATCCAATAATAATATGTGAAAAATATTAATTATATACAAAATTATTACCTTTATTTATTTCTTCATCATAAATATATGAATTTACGTTAATACAATTAACTCAGAATACTTACCCTCAAGGCAGTGATGCAGGCAGGATCACGGATCGTACCATTTTCTTCTTTTGTATTATATCCTTCTACTCTTTTATCTCTCTCACTAACTTTCCACAATTTGATTGTTTTATCGTTCGTGGAGAGTAAAAAGTGGGCAGGATTTTTTCTTTTTAGCCATCTAATTTTGTTAATTTTTTCTTCTATTTCTAGTGATTTTAGATAATCGAACTCTGGCTCATGGCTCTGGAAGGTGCTGTACACATTGTATTCACCTCTCCGTGGTATACTATTTTTACTCTGTATAAATAATCGTTTCTTTTATAGTTTATTCTAATAATGGCTATTTTTAAAATATTTTTAAAACATCTAACAATAACTGATTCAGTTAAAAATATTCGATTATAACGCTCGATAGTTTATTTTGTAGAAAAGTCTAATCACTTTGTCACTATGTATATGTGTGCGCATATGTGTACATGTGTGCATATGCGTCATTAACATCTATGTGACATTTGGATTGGTTGGATATAATATATCTTTTAAACAAACAATCTAACAATGTCTATGATAAATATATAATGTTTTATAAATTCTTCTAGAATATTAATTCATCTGTGGAGTTAATTACAATGAGTTACTTACAATGGGGTCTCTCTGAAAAATAACAACACGTCCACCTTTGTCTCCTGTTGCAAGAAGATCACCATCATGATTGAATTCAACACATGAAATTATATCAGCTGCAAAAAAATGCAACAATTGAATATTAATACAGATTTCTCATAATATATGCACAATTTGAACTTACAATTTGAACTTACAATTATGTATGTGTATGTTAATTAGTAAGAGAGCAAAAATTTGAGTTTACAAATTAAAATAAATTTTGGATCTTAAAATATATCTAGTCCTGACTTACTAGTTTATTTTATTTTGGTATGTGCAAACTGATAAGACAAAAACAAGCAACTTCCTTTTAAGCTAAGTTAATACAAATCAAACTTACCTTCTGTAACATCTTCTTCTAAGGTACCCTTCACTTGAGAAAAACACCATTGTATGTCACCATTGCCTATAACACAACATTAAGAATCTTTAGAGAGAAAAAAACAACATTTCTCCCTTTCTGTTAATTCGTCTCAGATATTAATATGTTCGGAGAGTATTATAGAGTACTTTGTAGTAAAAAATAAAAAAAATTGTTCTAAAGCTTTTAGTGTCAGTTCATTCTATCGTTGGCATTCGCAATATCGGTCGGCAGGTAGAATTGGTTTGTATTTTATATATATCTCAAAACATTAGTAAACAATGGTTTTAGCAACTAGTAACTTCTATGGCTAGTAACATATTATAAAGGAAATTACAATTAAAAGGCAAATAGTAAACAAAAATAGAATAAATCTTATATGATTAATTGCACCCACACACATACAAAATTCCAACTTTTTGTTTTGTAACCTATGAAGCCCTAAACACAGTGCCAGGCAACAGGTAATAAGAATAAAAATAGACCAATCACAATAGATTATTCTTGTAATAGTCGATTGTGATTGGTCTATTTTTATTCTTATTGCCTGTTGCCTGGCATTGTATTTAGGACTTAATCATTCTAAGGATAGAGAAATTATAAGTAGAGTTGTGTACTTGTACACAAATGGCATAATCTAGAGAATGTATATGTTTCATATACATAGAAAATTTGTTCAGATCATTTAGATGAGCAATACAGAAGAAAATGCAATTTACTGGAGTTTGGATAGTACTAATTGAGTTAAATATTTCTGATGAATGTGTTACATGACATTTCTTGTATATATTCCAGAACACTAACTATATGGTTTCCTCTCCATGAACAATTGCAATTCAGACATGTGTTCATTATTTAGTAAAACAAGTTAGGTGAAAACTGATAAAATTCACATGTGACTAATATCGCAAATGCGACATGTTGAAGCAAGGCAGAAGGAAACGACGCAAGAAGGTAATGGTGATGGTGATGATGGTACGTACTCATAGTGGTAGGAAAGAAGCACTAAATAATCGCCGCCCTAGCACGAACCTGTACACCTGTGGCACTGGACATAACAAATGCACCCATAGTGTTTCCTGATGATGCTTTGTTAACGAAAAGGAAATGATAGCAACAACAGATTGTAGTTCGGAAAATTAATCGCAACAAGCGAAAGAGAAAAAGACGGAGTATTTTGGAATGTTATTTGAGAAACACATTGCTTGACCGAGTGATCAACGATGATATAGCGCTGAGGGAGCGAGGGAAAAAGGGCGAGCGAGGTTGAGGGTGCCCATTGTACTGGTGCATGTCGCGAGTCCTCTTTGCGGACAAACGCGTAAATTGAACGAGTGCAAGACAAACAGGAAAAAGGGAGAGGAAAAGAGAATGAGAGAAAAATGAAAGAGAGAGGTAAAAGTGAGCCTACTTGAAGTTTCGGCGTAATCCATCATGTTTCTAGGTTGCCGCCGTCGTCGCAGTTGTCGCCGTCGCCGGCGACGGATACATAGATATCTGTTTCCCCGAGCTCGGGGAGTAATCCGGGCGTAACCGACGCAATTGTAATTGAAGATTATAAGGTTGACTCTACGCGAACATTCGTTGCGGGTACACCCGCGTGTTATCTAGGTCAAGGTTCGCCTAGTCGCGGCGTCGCGAGGAAGCGAGTTGTTGGCCAACGGGAACGACGACGCGCCGTTGCCGTTGCTGTTGCCGTCGTCGTCGTCGTTGTCGTTGTCGTCGTCGTCGTCGCCGCCGTCACCGTTACCGTCGTCTCCGTCTTCGTCTCTGTCGTCGCGCGACGAATACGCGCGCGCCGGTTAATCGACAACGTCGCGGTGTCTCCGTTGGAGCACTCTACTTACCGGCCATCTCGCACACGGAGAACAATGTAACACGCAAGCGGAAGAACACGTTCGCACGCGAGCCTACTCCCGGGTGCCGAACGACGAGAGTGTACGAGCTCTTCGGGCAAAAGGATACGCGCGCGCGCGTGTGCTGACACGCCACACCGGCGACGAACAAGGGACGAGGAGAAGCGCTCGCCCGGGGAATATGCGAGATTTATGCTACTCGGTTGCTTGATTCCGGTTCTCCGTCACATATTTTCGCCGTTCTGTCGTGTCAGTAAATCGCTCAACTCTCAACAGTAAAGCTCACAGACGCATAACCGCACAACACGACTATGATGTGACGTCACAGTGCGCAACTAGCTTTTGCTACATACGAAATAACCACCATTTTGCACGCGATGCAGGTACGGTGGTGCACGAGCGTGTACGAAGATAGCCGAAAGTGCGGTGCTCATGTAACGCGCCAAATTCAAATGTATTCGATACTGAAGACATGCGTTTTTCAATCGAGATTTTACGACAGTTAACTCTCAGGTTAACTCTATGCATTCTGATTTTTATTGTCAATACTGAAAATCTATAGTATCCATAGCATGGACTATAGGTCTTCAGTATTAGCGATGAAAAGCAGAATGTACTTATAATATAATACAGTAGCTTCTAAAATATTAAATTAGTGCAAAAAGTAGGATAAATATGCACATAAGTCAACCTCCTCAAAGTTCATGACCTAGACATATGTTATTAAGGACATGTTCCTGTAAAATGTTATGCAAAAAGTTGCAACTGTCGCTTATTGTTCATTAAAAAGTTATTAACAAAAGAAATTTCGGTAATTAAGCATATTAAGGGATATCTCACCGATGATCTTCAACTTCATATATATTATCAAGGACATAGTCCTGAATAACTTACAAAAAGTTTCAGCCGGTGATCATTGTTTATTAAAAAGTTATTAACAAAAGAAGTTTTATTAATCGAGCGTAATTTTTCAACACAATGTACATTTAGCACCTAAAACCTACAGGAGGTTATTTTGAAATATAGTATATATAAACGGTGGAGGGACGTGGCCCCTCCCTACACCCATTCCCTGAGGAAATTCTATCCTAACCCAACTTATTGCATCTTCATATATTGTTCAGTGTGAGTTGTAAAAGTTTTAATCTTTTCAACACCTAACAATACAGGGTGAGGAAAAAATACTAGGACCCTGAAATATATCGGAAAATATAATTTTTATGAAAAAATGTTTTAGACAAAAGTTGTAGAGTTTCAAGTAACGCATTACATATCAGTGTGACTTTAAATAGCGTTGTCAAGGTCGTATGTACGTAGCTCGGCCCCCTACGGTGGAGAATAAGGAGCCGAGGGGTAGCATAGGCCCGCCTCCTTTTGGTGACGGCCGTTAAGGCTGCCAAGGAGGGGACCTTCGCACTGGGGTGGTCGGTCGTCAGTGTTGTGTTGTTGGTGGCCAGACTGCCCCAGTGCTTTAGGTGTTGGGGCCCCCTTTTTTTTTTTCACGCAGAGGAAATCCATCATGGATACCCCCGCCCCCTTGGGGGCGCGGGGGTTATGTCGGATTCTTACCGACTAAAACCCCTGCGGGATGTCTACCTGTCGGACCGTGAGGAGGGGAGTTAGGGGAACTGCTCCCGCGTTCCCTCCCCAACCCTCCGGCCCCAGAGCTTTTAACTAAGAGCCCCTCGCCTTCTTGTACCGCACCCCCCTTCCCCTTTCGGGGAATTAGTGGGAGGAGCGCGGTCCCCGGCGGGTAACCCCGCCGGTTGACCTTCTGGTATCTCCTAGGAGGAAGGGGACATCCACCCTTCCTTCTTATCCCCCCCCCTTCCTGAAAGATTCAGGGAGGGGGGGAAATTGCGGGGTGGGCCCGACCCCAATCGGGTTGTCCACCTCCCCTTTTCCCTTCTACCCGATCACTCGGGGAAGTGGGAGGTATCCTCTTCGCTCCCCCTCGAGTGGCGGAGCCTGGCCCGAGGTGGCCGAGGGAGGCGCCGGCCCGTGTAGGCCAGCGGCCTTTCCTCGTCCGATGCCACCTCGGGCCCGCTATTGATTCCCCCCCCCCCCTCGGGGAGCGCCGGCCCCGCCATCCTCTGCGACGGCGTTTCCCAGGCCGGCGCCTCCATTCGGCGGCCTCCTTCTGGGAGATTACCTCCTTGCAGAAGGAGGCCGCCATGTCCCACGCTCTCTCGCTCCCACACATAGCTCGCACTAGGTGCGGGAGCGAGAGCTCCCCGTCACGGCAGTCCACCGCCCTGAGCAGGACACGGCGCTGCTCATCCCATGCTGCGCAAGCAGCCAGGGTATGCAGCGCCGAGTCCTCTTGCTCAGGGCAGTGGTGGCACCGAGCGGTGGGCTCCTTCTTTATCCGGTACAGGTATCTCCCGAAGTAACCATGCCCGGTTAATACCTACACCAGGTGGAAAGACATTCCACGCCCCCTCCTGTCTGCCACTTCGGACAGACAGGGGCGCACAGCCTCGGCCGTTGCGAGACCGGACCCTCGGGGGTCGACTAGCGCGCCTTCCCACCGCTCCAGGATCCGGTCTCTGGCCTGGGTCATTAGGGCCTTCAGGCCCCTGGCCGTCAGCTCTCCCCCCTCGCGGAGCTCCTTTACTCGCCAGTAGAGGACGCGCCTCTCCTCGGCTAGGAGCTTCATAGGGGGGGGGAGCCGGCCAGGGTGGTCGCCGCCATGTATGACACTGTGCGGTACACTCGAACCTGATCATGAGAGACCTGAGGGCCTGCCTCATGAGCTGTCTGGCCACCGCAGTGACCAGCAGCTGGGGCGCCCAGATGGGCGCCCCGTACAGGGCGATCGAGAGCACCGCACCGACATACAGGCGGCGAGCCTGCCATCCTGGGCCCCCTTGGGCGCGCATCAGCCTGGCTACAGCCAGTCCGGCTTTGCGTACCCTGGGGGCCAGCTGCCTGAAATGAGGCCCAAATGACCATCGGCTGTCCAGCGTCAGGCCGAGATATTTCATCGTCGGCCCGACGCGAACGTGGACGCCATCGACTAGGACCCGAGTCTCCGGCGGCGCCCCCCGGCCGTGAAAGAACACAGCCTGAGTCTTCTGGGGTGCCACCTTGAGACCCAGGTCTCCGATGGTTCCCACCACCGATGCCACTGCCACCTCCGCACAGCAGCGGGCTTCCCCCCAGTTCTCTCCTTCGGCCACCACTAACGTGTCGTCTGCGTAGCAGACGACGTGGCAGCCGTCGGGGATCGGAGTGCGAAGAACCTGGTCAAAGCCGATGTCCCATAGCAGGGGGCCGAGCACCGACCCCTGCGGGACACCGCGCTCCATAGTGCGCCAACCTTGAACCCCGCCTTCTTTCGTGAAAGCGAGGTCTCTGTCCCCGAAGTAGGCGGACATTATCCGCCGGAGATAGGCGGGCACCCCGAAGTGCTCGAGGGCCCGTCCTATCTCCGGCCAGGGCAGGGTATTGAAGGCGTTAGATATGTTTAACGACACCGCCAACAACATTCCGCCCCTTATCTCCACGACCGCCCGGGTCAGGTCCCGGACCCACTGGATTGCATCCAGCGTGGGTCGTCCGGGCCTGAACCCATACTGGCGGTCGTGGAAGTCCAGCCCATTCGAAGACATGTGCTGGACGAGGCGGTCAGCGATGATGCGCTCCAGCATCTTGCCCGCCTCGTCCAGCAGGCAAATCGGCCTGTAGGCTAACGCACTACTCCGGGCTCCTTGCCCTCCTTCGGGAGAAGGGCCAATTTGGCCCTCCTCTACTCTGGGGGGAAAACCCCCTCCCTGAGGCATCCTGTCATGACCCTGCATGTGGCTGCGGACAGGTCCCCTTCGGCCAACGCGAGAGCCCAGGCGCGGCCCGGAATCGCATCGGGGCCAGGGGCTTTGCCCTTGCCACCGAGCTTTCTCCGGGCCTTGGCGAGCTCCTCTGGAGTGACCTCCAGGCCCTCGTCCCAGTCTCCCTCCCCCATCTCTGGGGAAGGGATCACGGGGGGGCCTCCTTCCGCCCTCGGAAAGAGGGCGTCCAGGAGCCCATCGAGGGCCTGGGGGTCTAACGTCTCCGTCTGCGGGGGCGCCCAGGGACGGTCTTTCCCGTCCTCTTGTATGGGCGCCCCCACGGATCGTCATCTAGGGAGCTCACCAATTGCTCCCAGGCTTCCCGCTTGGCCTTTTTGATGGCTTTCTTGAGGACTACCCTGGCGGCAAGGTAGTCCTCTTTTGCCCTTGTGGCATCCCCGTCTCGTCGCCGGGCACGCGTATATGCCCTTCTGGCGCGGTCGGAGTCACTGCGAAGTCTCGCTATTGCCTGCGACCACCAATACGCTGTCCGGCGCCGACGGGGGTGAAAACGGGGTATCGCGGCGTCGCATGCCTACGCCACTATCCCCGTTATCTCCCCGGCCCCCTCCAGGAGGCCGGGGTCCCACTCACCTGGCTCTATGTGCCAGGTGGCCACAAGGACAGCCCTGAACCTGTCCACATCTAGTCGACTAAGGGTCCATTTTTTGGGGAGATCTTTTGGGGAGAGGAAAGTTCTTCTCCCCTGGACGGCGAGCCGACACCTGTTTTGGTTTGGGGAGGTGGAGGGTCCAGACTATGTATCTATGGTCAGATAACGTCTCATCCTCCACTTCCACCCTCCATTCGGAGACCAACCTTGCAGCCAAGAGGGAGGCCCAAGTCAAATCAATGACCGATGACCCCCCTCCCGGCCTTATACAGGTGCCGGTGGAACCTCTGTTTAACAACTGAAAGCCCAATACGGCATATCGAAATCGACAGCAAATCATATATTTAAAATAAATAAATTCTACCCCTACCATATCCATCTAATCCAGAAATTAGAACAGAAGGATTTCGAGTGACGCTTGCAATTTTGTAACTGGAATTTAAATCAAATTTGAAGAAACCACATTTTATCGGAGATATGCTCTTTTCTGATGAAGCCACGTTCGGTAACAGAGGTGTTAATAGACATAATTATCATTATTACTTTGATCAAAATCCTCATTGGCAAAGGAGCCAAGAATTTCAAAGGCAATGGTCTATTAACGTTTAGACAGGTATTCTTGGGAATGACATCATAGGCCCATACTTTTTTAAACAGAATCTAAACGCGCAACACTATTTAGCATTTCTTCAGAATGATCTGCCCAACCTTTTGCGACATGTCAATAATGACTTGCTTAACTTGCCGAATGTGGTTCAGCAGGATGGAGCACCAGCTCACAAGTCCCGAAATGTTACAAATTATTTAAATAATAGATTTAATAATAGATGGATTGGAATGCGTAGTCGGACTCATGAATGACCATCAAGATCACCTGACTTAACCTCTCTCAATTTTTACTTTTGGGGATACGTAAAAGAAAAAGTTTATGCGGAAGAGTCTACAACAACGGAAAACATGAAGGAACATATTCGAGAGACATGTACGAACATAAACGCAGATGTCCTTCAAAAAGTGCGGGATGATTTTCGCCGTAGGTTGGACATTTGTATCTAAGTAAATGGCGGATTTTTCGAACACCTACAATAATTGTACAGTCGCGGACATAAAGGTTGTCACTTTTTTTTAATGACTTTCGGGACGCATCCCGACTCGAGAAAGATGAGAGCTGCTCCGCCTGTGGAGCACGCCTGCGCAATAACTCACAACGAAAGGCGAGAAATGAAATATATATGGTATGACATAAGTATGTCAACAATCATTGCGTTTAGCGGAGAAAACTGCTCAATGAACAATTAGTGACTATTAATCCTTACTGTTAGATCCTTACATTCAGACCAATAATGTTGACAAATTATTCAACAGTTGCTCAACCATTGAGTGTCGTGAACGCACTCAATTCTTACATTTTGAAAAATCAGCAGCAGAGGGATAGATACATAATTAACTTAAAAAGTACTTAACGAAAAGGTATTTAATTATAGGGTTTTGGAAAACTCTCGATGTAAGCTAGAAGAATATGTAATGAAAAGTAAGTAGTTCCATTTAAGAAATTAAAGATGACCTTCATGTGACCTTCAAGAAACTATTCAATGTCAAACTAATGGCATCATCTTATGTCCTCCTCAAAACCATACAACTTTTATCTGAAACATTATTTTCTACAATCAAAAATAAAAAAGTTATTTGGGGTGAGACATTAAAATGGGACACTGTATATACCCTCATTTGAGTATTACACCTCATCCGAGTATTACATATGATGGTTAACTCTACAATTACACTGAAAACGAACACCATCAAAATGAAAATTGATACAATTAAATGAAAGTATATTTAGCCTATTTATTTATTCGATCAATGGCTTATTTTTAAGTTCTTAAGTGAAAACAACAAATAAACAAAGATTTTACGAACCCTTGATAGCACATGTTCTCCTGGGGACATCCTAAGGACGTCCTGAGAATGAAGAAACATCCTAGGACGTCCTCAAGACGTACTCTGGACGTCCTCTGGACATCTGTGCTATTAGGGACATATGCTTTCATTTGTGTGTATTGCCGTCTGTTGCAAAATTTGGGTGCATTTAATTTCAGGGTTTCCTTTTCAGGGTTTTATTTGTGTGTTATTTTGAAGGTTTTCGTTGGGCGTTAACCTTCATTTGGGTGTAACCTTCAATTGACGATCCGAAATCACACCCAATTTGAGTGTTTTCTCGATGTATAACACCCAAAATTGAGCGTTTATTTGGTGTATAACACTCAAAGTTGAGCATTTTTTACCGGTGTTTAACACCTAAAACATTTTAGGCGTATTTAAGCCTAAAATAAAGTATTTTTTGAATGTTAACACCCAAAATTTTTGGAAGGTTTTTTTTCATAAAGAATATCAAACGGATTTTGCTTGTCGCGTAATATCCTTCGCACTATACGAACATTATTATTTTGATCATTTTGCTTTCTTTGATAATTCATTAAGAATTATCCAGAACGCAACTACCATGTTGAATGAAATTCAATTGTCGTGTGAACTGTTTCGATTTTCACAAATTCATATAAAATTTTTCATTTTTTACTAATCCACAGAAGTCCTTCACTTTTCAGTAGTTCACGCTAGGGAAAAGATTCATAAGTGTATGTCTACAACCTCGCTTTAAGAAAATATTTTATCTCTAAGCCGTAAGCTCTAAGCTGTAAGCTGAAAACTGTTAAATAAACCTTAAAGACGGTAATCCACAATATAAAACATAAGGCGTAAAACGTGACGTATCAGCCAATGAGAGAAGGGTTATTCGGACTTGGTGGTTGGTGATAATGACCCATATTCAGAGCGTGCTTATAACTAATTAGTGCACTGTTAACCAATCAGAAGGCTTATTGCATGGCTTTCCATTGGTTTCATTGGTTAACAACGCACTAACATAGTTATAAGCACGTTCTGAATATGGGCCAATGCGTTTGTAAACACGCAGTTTCTTTACTTTCTACATAACCAAGATAGATTTACGTCAAGCTCTCCTGCTAACAACGGTGTTGTGTTCGTGGAATGTGCATCTTTTACAAATATATGGAGTACAAAATCGAAGGTTATATTGGCGAGCGAGGTTATATCCACGATCGACGGTGTATTCTTTTTGACACGACAAAACGTCCTCTTCGCTGATTGGCTGAAAATTATATGTCGACTTTAAGCTCTACGCTTTAGGCCGTAGAAATTGAGTTTTGCGCAATTCGCTTAGATCTAAAGCTAAAGCTAAAGGCTAAAGCTTAAATACTGCGCGAGAATGTCTTAAGGCTCGTCTACATTAGCTGTAAGAGTAATGGCTCCTGCATACAGGACGCGGCAACGCTTGCCGCGCGGCGGAAATTCGCACGATAGCCAATCAACGTGCCGCTATTCCGTAATGAACTTCCAGCTCTTGAGGAAAGCAGGACGTTGATTGGTGATCGCTCCAACTTCCACCGCGCGACAAGCGTTGCCGCGCTCTGTGTGCAGGAGCCATAAGGCTGTAAGGCTGTCAACAAACGAGCCTTTAAGGTTCGTCTACATTAGCTGTAAGAGTAAGGCTGTAAAGTTGTAAAACACAAAATGAAATATTTTCATTCGCTGACAGCTTACGTTACAGCCTTACAACCCTACTCTTACAACTAATGTAGACGAGCCTTTAGAGACGGAAATGACGTCACTTAACACTTACGGCTTAGAGCTTACATCCTCTTAAAGCAAGGCTGTAGACATACATTGATCGCTGCCCAGCTGTATTCCAAGATAAATCTTCTCAAATAGCAAACCCGAAAATAATATCCGAAATTAAGGAAAATCTATTTAAAGTCTCATACAACATTAATAATAAAAATAACGAAAAAACCATTGTTATTAAACCCAGCAGTAATCAGCTTTTAGAAAATATAAATTCATATATTCCTCTCTCAAATAGTCAGCATCTGGACGAAAGTAGCCGAGGTGCTTCAGTTTTGAAATGGATAGCAAATCTAGATAAACGCATGCTCTGTGATTTATCCAGAACGTAACAGTTCTTTCGCTAAATGTATACGCACCTTTATGTATCAAGGCAGGGCACTTTTTCAAAAACCGGAAATGTACCAATCACGTGATATATATCATATGATCGCGAGAAGATCAGGTGCTCTGCTTTTACTTTCTGCTTGGTCAGTTAGTAACGTTCGATAGTGAGAGATTGATACGGCTTATTTTAATTTGATTCAACAATGAAGAGCAATACGAGAAAACTACAGAATTTTCAATTTTTCCTAGCTATAAGCATCATTTGTCAAATTACGCTTTTACATGCTGATCCGTGCGTGCCTGTTATAATATGGTGTTTAAATAATCAGTCCGACATTGTCAACTCGACGCAGTTGAACGCAATATCCAATCCATTGCAAAAATTATCATTGGAAGATTTTGAAAGAACTTTATTCCAACTGGATAAAATCATCGACTTGCTTATCGTCACCAATGAATTTTGCATTGAAGATTTCAAGAATATTAAGGTTATTTTATATCTATTAGACTAAAAGCTATTTCTTATTCTGCTATTTTAAGTTTATTCTCTTTCATTTGCTGATATAAAACTATATTATAAGTTATAATCTCATCATATTGCATATATCATATGATTATACTGTAATTTAACAAATAAGATATCCATCAAATATATCAAGATATCATCCAATATAAAATTTTACTTATAACATTAAGGTTTAGAAACTATAGATGCGATAAATAAATTATACATTAAATAATTTGAATATTTTTATTTAGAAAGTGTTTATAAGGCATAATTATGTTGCTATTATATGTTTATATAACGAACACAATGTATTGTATATATTTATATATGATATTAGTACTAAAAAATTACAACTATAGATTATAAGATAAAATTGTAATATGGAATGTTGCAGATACTCTCAAATGTTACCAATGGTTCTAAGATGCACTATCTTCCCTGTGTTGATACACCGTATTCTGTCTTCCGCAAGACTTTTAATTACAAACAGATGAAAACATTAGAGGACATAAATGATAATCATGAATTAAACATGGTTTTCAAAGATATTGACTCAAGTACATATATAGCAATTACAGGAAAGGAATGTCGATATAGTCAAAATGAACGTATAAAGCGAGAAGTTTTTGCTGATAATTCTACAGACTTCAGAATAAAAACAGATAGAGTTCTTCTATATTCTAGTGCAGCACTATCATTCAAGGTAAAGAAACTATTTGAATTTATATTAAAATTATAAAAAAAACTCATAAGTACTTTAAAACTTCTATTTTGAAATATTCATCATTTAAACAATAAAAAGATTATAAGGAAATCACAGGAATACATTGAAGAATTCTTGATATAAATTTTTAATACAGAGATTAAATACACAATCATATGTATATATATAGTTGAAGTAATAAGTATTTTTATTGCAGGTTGGAAATTCAGAAAATGCCATATCGCTTCCCAGTTCTGGTGCTACAGCATCAACTCATACAGATACAAATGGTACACTAACCTTGACCATTAAGTTTTCTGATATTGAGGAAATTGGCAGGCTGACCCTAGAGTTCTTTTTCTCAGTTAAAAGTATGGGCTATTATATGTTGAAGAAAGTTCATTATGAGACAAGCAGTACAAGTGATTTTCTAGAAACGAAATTAGACATTTACTTTCCATACAATTTTTCTTATCACTGTTCACAAAATGTCGTTTTTATCAATGATATGGTATATTTAAATATCACAAATATACAAGTTCAAATTGATTCAAAAGATGCGACATTTAACGATGCGTACGATTGTGTCGGTTTCACCAGTATTCCGATTTGGACGGGAATTTTTGTAACTGCCATATTAGCCTCGATTATGACATGGGCACTCATAATGATCATGGATATTCGTACGATGGACAGATTCGATGACCCTAAAGGAAAAACCATCACGATCTCTGCCGCGGAATAAAATATAAAATATAATTCGTATAATAATTTAATATATTAATATATTGTATAAAATTATCATTACAAGAAAAATCACCTTTACAAGCCATGCCAATTTACAAAAATTATTTAGATTAAATTCTATGTAGACTCAATGAATACCTTGTGTTTATAGAAAAATGAAAAGGAACAGTGTTGAATAATATATAACAGCTATGCTAGTCTAACCGACACACCAAATATTATAAAAATCTTGACCCAATGTATTAATATCCATACACATATACATTCCATTATTTGTCTTAATATATATGGATGTCTCATAATGTTTATCTAAATTTATTACTACTTTATTATTAGTTTATCTAAATTTATTTATTATGATTTTATACTAATTTATTATTAGTAACTTTATATATTTTTAACTATACTATTTCTATCCAAAATGGAACAACTTTTTGAGAAAGCTTAAATATCACAGATGACCAAACATTTAGTTTATCAACAACCAAGACTTGACCAATGAAGGACATATGTTTCTTTTGTTGAAATATTCTGACATGCAACTGTATATTACAACATGTACACTACACTGCCTCTCATTAGTCGAATTATGTTTGTTAAAAAATTAAAAGAATAATATCTACATCTTTTGCAAAAGGTAAAATCTTCCCTTTTTAGTTCTAGAAGAGTCATAGATTATATTGTTAAACAATCATTGTGAGGCATCCTGTGTGTATATATCATATGATTTGCTATTGTATGTTTGCTGTTAATTTTTATAGCAATAGTTATATAGGGTGTCTCATAACTAATGTTGCAGAGCTCGTGGAGCGGGTTAAGACAAACATAAAAGTCCTATACCGTTTTGCGAGATTCGCAATAATTATCGAGTTATTAATGACAGAAATCTGACGAGTGAGTGCGCGCCGAAATGGATTGGAGAAGCGTCGCAGCCTTTCGGGCCACAGAGCGGCCTAATCGATCTAGCAACTATTGGTGGAGTGCGGTGAAACGAAAAACGAATAGCGACGAGTTATCCTTTCCCTTGCCGTGCACCGGCAACTGTTGCTAGATCGACTGGGCCGCGCTCTTGTCGAAATGGCTGCAACACTTTTCCAACCATCTGTTGACGCGCTCCTATTCCTCAGATTTCTATCATTAATAATTCGATAATTATTGCAAATCTCGCAAAACGGTATGGAACTTATATGTTTGTCTTAAACCACTCTATGTCTCCACGAGTTCTGCAATATTAGTTATGAAACACCCTGTATAATTATAATGTTTCATTCGTGTAAAAATTATTATTTCATAAAGGAACAACATAATATGATATATCGATTCAAATACAAATACAAACGCTAGGAAATAAATTTTATTTTGATCAGAACATACACTGATCAACAGTAACTGAACCTATTAAGACTAATATTATTTTGATCAAGAATTATTAGTATTATTTCTTATAAATTAATATATAAAAAAATATAGTATGTTAAAAAGAGATATATTATTAACTCTTTTTTGGATTAAATCATATAATTCAATGATAATAATTCTATGTATTCCAGTTAGAATAATATATTGGAAAAAGTATAAATGTAAACATGTGTCATTAATAAATAAAATGGATATTCATATATAAAAGCACATTATATACATGAAAATAACACTTGAGAAAAGGAAGAGAGTAAAAGTTATAAAAATTATATATATATATAATATAAATATATATAAGTTACAATATAGATGTGTTTAGTATAAGATTTAATAAGATATATAAACATTGTAAAATCGCACATCCATGAGCGAGTTATGCGCATGAGATCTATTTAACTCAAGTAGATGTATATGTGGAGGAATATCAATATCATAAATTACTATAAACACCATGGAGTATGACAGCATTCAAAGAGGGAAATTTCTGATTATAGTAACAACATATAATTGACTGTTATTGCTCTATATAATACACTAATTATAATAGTGAATTTTATTATAATAGTTTATTATAATTGATTATTTGTAAAAGTAACAGTAAACAAGTCATACTAATGGTTTACACATATAGATTACACATTAGATATATAATAAATTTTCATTCAAATTCTTGCCTCTTATATACTATACCATATACTCTTACTATATATCTTCTTTTGCAAGATCCTTTACAAATTCTAAAATTTTACCATGTTATTAAGTTATAAAAATATTTAATATAAGTTATATAAAGATGTGTGCGTATTTAGTATAGTTTAATAAGATATATAAACGTTATAAAATCACGCATACGACTTATCACATGTGAGATCCATTTAACTTGAGCAGGCAGGAACTTCAATGCCATAAATTATCATAAACACCATGGAGTACGGCGACAGAATAACAGAATCCGTAGATTTCAGTATTTTAGGTCGAAATAACGGTAAACTTCCATTTGGTTGCAATTTCAATACTTCATCATTCATTTTTATCTCACTACAAAATGAAATGATATTTATCAAATATGTATGAAAGACCCTGGATACTCGACGCGCGCGATCATCTTGATTTATAACATCAGGAATAGAAAAATACACACTCAGAATTCCTATACAAAATATGTATAAATAAAAAAAAATCTGTTTACAAAATGACATTCATAATCGATCGAAGATATGTAAAATAGTCCGGACATCTTTCTGCTCTAGCAATTAATAAATTACCATAAAATTAATGTGACAGAATTATGAGGAAGGATTAAAATTAAAATGTAAATAAATAATCAAATTAAATTAAAAAGTAATTGCATTATGTCAATTTTATGATAATTGATTGATTATTAACACAAAAAATTATATTCTAATATACTATTAACAAATGACTATTTTACAAGTATACTCAATTGGTTGTAAATATTATTTTACAGATATATATATATTTTTATTTCATCGTATTTTATTATTTTGCAGTTTTAAGAATTCTTCTTTTTGTTCTTAATGTTATCTATTCTTAATGTTCTTAATGTTAATTAAGAAATTTGCAGCAAATATACTGAAGCATTAATAAATATAAATAATATCTTCATATTCATGATAAACGTTTATAATGATAATGTAGTTATATGTAGTTATTTTTCATTCAAAAACAATGTTTTATGTACTACATATTTTTCTCTTTACTTTCTCAGAATGATGCAAATGTATTTAACATTAAACGTGTATCTCAACTTCTATTTAGTACTGGTTACTACATACCTCGACTGAAGATGATCTGCGGTCAAAGAGTAAAGGAGTATTTTTACAACTTTGTTAGGTTGTACAGTTAACATCGGAATATCTATATGGGCTGGAATTTTGTCTATGTTCATTCCATAAATTGTAATGGCTGATTTTTTATTGATAAGAGCTTGTTGTAGTGTACAATGCGCGTACAGACGAACATAGCCGTAATTATTCGGCGTTATTAATTTCAAGACTTTCTTTGATACGAATTGCTTATAAACAACACTGACCCACCAGTCAGGGTTCGGTGTAAGATCTGACGATATCATAGCATAATTTCCACCAAATAACGATTGTCTAGTGACGACATTCAATCCAGCACTAGCACTGTATCCCAATTTATCTAACCACAGAAATCCTGCTATGAATCTATCAGATAATTCGGGTGCTCCTCCACCATATGCAGTACTCGTTTCTGCTGTAAATAAATTTTTTATAAAATTTAATTCATTGTATATTAATATTGGTAATTATACAGAATATCTTCCTCACCTCCAATATCGACGAAAAAATATTTAATCGACACGTTTTTGCAAGACAAATAACTTTTCTATTTGAAAAAAATTATCGCTCTGCCTTGTGGAGCGAGATATTAATTGTTAACGTTGACGACAATTTAGGTTAAGAAACCTATCATGATAATACAGAGACTTATGGTCTGTTTATTTTAGTCGGAAAATGTAAGATAATACATATAAGCGGTGAAGGGGTTCCGGCTCTCCCCCGCACTCCTCCCCAAAGAAATCCTAACCTAACCAAACTTTTTGCATCTTTATATGTTGTTGGGTATTTGAAAAGATTAAAATATTTCAAACCCACGCTTAACAATTAGTCTGTTCTTTATAGCTGCATTGTTGAACTGGTGCAATACGTTAAAATGAGATAAATATAGGTTTTCTCACTCTAGTTTATTGCACCAGTTCAGCAGTGTAGTTACAAAGAACAAACCAAATATATAAAGATGTAATAAGTTAGGTTAGGTTAGGATTTCTTTGGGGAGAAAATGTGGGGAAGGGGCTTCGCCCCTCCCTTCACCGCTTATATATACTATCTTACACTTTCCGACTGACAAGTAAACCTATATACCCAAGGGTGACTCTCCAATTTTAATGAGCTTTTAATATGTTATTTTCCAACTCAAACAAAAGGACACGTATTTTTTTATTCGAGCCGATACGTACTTTTAAGGGATAAAACACCCTTTTGGAAAAAATTAGGTTTTCTCTTTCAGGGCGAATATCGATAAAACTATAAAAGATAGAACAAAATTTTTTAATGAAAGTTGAATGGTTTCAAGAGTACTATAAAACAATAAGAAAAAAATTTTTATTTTTTTAATTTTCTTTAAAATACCCCCGCCCACTCATGATATCAAAATTTTGAAGTTTTTTTCTATCACCAAATGAAAGCTTATTTTATTACAAATTTAGGCATGTATAATAAAGTTACGTTTCGAAAAATCATTTTTGAGAATTAATTAAACGCTTCCATATATATGCTATCTGTGCCCGCATCATTTTTCCCGCAATACGTTCTGTACACATCTTCCCGTAAACATGAGATGACAAATACATTTGGAAGACATTCTTCATATATATAATATATATAATCATGGGAGTTTTTATTGCGCACAAATAAACATGTAAACACAGTGATATAGATATACAGAGTTTATCAAAAAAGTGTGGAAACCACGAACTACTTTTATAACAATATCGGAGAACGGTGAAACACAGTGAACACCGGTTTTTTTTGTTGTTTTTCATATTATTTTTTATAGGCTTTTATACATAATTATTTATATTAATTATTATATATGTCACTATGATTATTAATATTATTATGTATAATTATACTATATTTATATTTATTTTTGAAGAAAATTAAAAAATAAAAATTTTTTTCTTATTGTTTTATAGTACTCTTGAAACCATTCAACTTTCGTTGAAAAAATTTTGTTCTATTTTTTATAGTTTTATCGATATTCGCCCTGAAAGAGAAAACCTAATTTTTTTCAAAAGGGTGTTTTACCCTTTAAAAGTGCGTATTGGCCCGAATAAAAAAAGATGTGTCCTTTTGTTTGAGTTGGAAAACAACATATTAAAAGCTCATTAAAATCGGAGAGTCACATGTAGGTAGATTTACTTGTAAGAACAGATCATAAGTCTCTGTATTATCGGCATGACAGATTTCCTAACCCCATGTGTATCATTTTTCAAATTTTTATAACTTTTTCTGATCTGTTTGAGAACGACACTTTTCTTTCAAAATCGCGTTCTACGCACCAAAATATACAATATTACAAAGTTTCACGCAAATCAGAGCGGAAGCCCGTTTTCTTCATATTTATCTTTTTTTCTTTCAACATCGCGTTCTACGCACCAAAATACACAATTGTGCAATTTCAGCGAAATTGGTGAGGAGCCTTATATTCTAGATTACCTTGAGTTACCTTTATTTTTTATTTGTCATCTCCGTGACAGATTTCCTAACCTAAATTGCTTTAACAATTAACCTTCTAAGTCTGTGAGATGACTATAATCATCGCTACATGTACTCCTCAGAAAGCCATGCGATGCTTTAAGGCATCGCGAAGTTATTCGCGAAGATTTTTATAAAGCAATATATATTTTTCTTTATCTTTTTATTCCAATATTTAAGTCTTTATGTATAATTTTGTTTTGTATAGAGAATATGCTCGACTTGCTGGGAATTGGAGTTAAGGAAAAATTCATCCGCAAAGGGTTAATATCTCGCTCCACAAAGCAGAGCGACGATTTTTTCAAATAGAAAAGTTGTTTGTCTTGCAAAAACGTGTCGATCAAGTATTTTTTCCGTCAATATTGGAGGTGAGGAGGATATTCTGTATAATTACCATATTATTTATATGCAATATTTACTTCATCTCATCGCGGAACTAATATTGGTCAATGATATCAGAAACGAGGAAATATATAATGAAAATTCCTATGTGGATTATATGAAAATAAAAAATATATATCTATTAAATAACACTTGCGATTAATTGAGTAAAAATGCTTGAATTGAATTGAAGTTGAATAAAAATGTTTCGAAACTTTTTGCTCTAATTTTAATTTCTAAAATTCTAAAATTAATGAAATAACTAAAATTAATATGATATACAACCTTTTTAACTTAGCTTCTCTCATGACTATCATTAATTGTTGATTTTTTGCCTATTTAATTATTTTGATTGATAACTTCAACATAAGAAAAATATTTATTTTAAAAATATACTTGTGGATTTTAGAAATATACTCGATTGCAAATATCATTTTATGGATATATCTTTTTATTTCTATATAATCCATAGAAATTATTAGCATAAATTTCCTCATTTCTGATTTTATCATTCAATATGGCTGCTGCGAAAAAATAACAGCTTTAAATCGGAAAAAGTCATATAAGTAAATTGATGAATAACTTAAATCATTATTTCCAATAATCAATCTGTCAGCAGTCTATTGACAGATTCATAATAGATTCAATCAGGATTTGTCGACAGATTCATAGACATCTTCCAGTAAACACAAAATATCATCGATGTTACAATGTCAGCTGAATCATATATTATGTTACGTAACAATTGTTATATAACAAAGTAACAGTTATATAACATGCCATATGATTTAGCTGACATTGTAACATCAATGATACTTTGTGTTTACTAGGCTATGACCATATTTGTTTTAGGTTCTGTTGATAGAGTTTACTGATAGAATTTGACATCAAAATATGAGCAGAATATATTAATATATTATCATTTAAATATTCATATATACTCATATATCATTTAAATATTTTAGAACAACAAATTCTGTTCAGTTTCTGTTAATCTGTTATCATACACTACTGTCAGATCTTATTTTATTTTTGTTAGTAAGCTGCTGACATCAAATTTGCAGCAGACACTGAAAAATCTGCCTTTGCAGCTATTTGAGATTGTTTCAATATTTTTGCTACAATAAAATTGATTTTAATCTTTATACATTTATTGTTGAAATTAACCATTAAATAATAATTATTAAGCATTGTATATAAATATATAAAATTGAATATTGTAACTAATAGAACTATATATAAACTCCAAAAAAAGGGAAAAAACAGTTTTTCCATAATTGAAAGGTAAACAATAGAAAATAAAATTTATTAAAAAATCTAATTTTAAAAGAACGTACATAACCATATAGAAACATTTCTCCTTGATGCAGCGATGAAATCTTTCATAACTTTAATTTGCATCGGTAAATAATTGAATGTATTAGGATTTATAAAATCTTGAATTTTAGCTTCCCGTCCATTCAGATAATATTGGTGCCAGGTAACGTAATTCACGATATTTTTTTGACTTTTTAGAAATATCTCAGCATATTTCTCTCCCATATGATTTGTATCACCAACATGATTTACTTCTGGCCCGACGAGAATGCTCTCAATATATCCTGTTTCGTCCAGTAATTGCCTCAAACAATCGTAGTCCTTTGCGAGTTCAATCGCAGAAATCGTCATATTGAATACATGTTTGAATGAATTCGGTTCTATATTATCGACAATTTATATTATATAATTTATAACAATATAATTTTAATAATTTTATACATGTTAACTTTTGTTTGTTAGAGTTACCATTCCCTAATTGCCAATCCAATTCCATATCATGATTTTTAGCAAATGTGATAATTTCTTGTGCATTAGTGTCATTCCATGATCCGTCTAGATTTCTAAGTAATACATTCAGATCAAAAATCATTCGTAACTTAGATTTTACCACAAACTCATAAATTTCAATCAAGTTCATGCCAGAGATAGTAAAATTACTAATATCCTGACCATCCACAAAACTAGGAATCTTCTTGAAATAATTTTGTTCCATCTAAATCATTAAACATATTAAATTAGCTTATTAAAATCACTTTTGTGTTATATACTTTTATATTATACTTAGTATCAAAATTTCTGCACTACTATAATTTATAAGATCACTTTATATTGTAAAGTAACAAAAAATATATATTTGTGTACAAGCATATCCCATATATATAATTTAATAAAAATAATTTTGTAATATATAATTTATTTGATATATGATTTAATTGATGATGATTTACTTGATTTACATGATTTTCACAAAATTGTATTTTATATCATTAATAAATTATTCATTAAATATTCACAAACTTACCTTCTCATTAAATATCAGGCAATCAGCTGAAGTTCCACCTATTCTGATATAAGCAGGGCTCAAGTATCGGCTTAAATTAATAAATTTTTCATATCTAATAGGTAATTCATTCATCTTTCTGAGTAAAGATGTGTCAAGACCAAATGAGAGGAACTTGTCAGATGTGATATATGAGACAGATTGTAGTTTATCAAAATGTAACACATAGGTATTCACTTTAGCATGAATGTTAAAATTCCATAACAAAAGTATTAATATAGAATAAAGACCCAGTATCGTACAATAAATAAGAGAACATACTGTTGAACCTGTCATAAAAAATGAAATTATTTTTACATTATAACTTGAGATAAACACACTATATATCACAATGTCTTATATCAATATGAATTATTAATAAAAAGTTTTATTACAAAGAAACCAGAGAACAAAGAATTAATAATTTAGATATATGTTAGGCTTTAGAATATATTATTCTTTTTTATTATTATTTTGAATTATATTATATATTACTTTTTTAATTATTATAAATTAAGAAAACTAAAAAACTTATTTAAATAACACAAAACATATTAAAACATTTCTAAATGTAGTTAAAATATCTCAAGATACCTCCCAAGATACATAGACACATTCAGAATAATTCTAGAATATCTTTTACTAAATCAATTACAAAATATCTTTAAATATTTAAATTTGAAGAGACTTTAAAATTAATTTGAATGATCAATCAATTTCATAAAAAAGATTTTGTATAGAATTTTCCTAAAAATATGTTTTATAGTTTATATAACATAAAATCAATACATAAATCTACGGCTCAAACTATGTACCTTTCAAACTACGCGAACTTACGCGAACAGAGAATTTAACCCCTTCTGTGGCACGAACACACCGGTGCGTCCAGATCATTTTCGTGTTGTTTTGAATTTTAAGTGTAATAACTATTGTAGAATTTTTATCAAGTATTTTTTGGGTCGCTGATTACGAATTTCAACTTAGTTTTTTATAATTTGTTAATAAAAAGAACTATAATCAAATTAAAATGTTGGAAAATTGTAAATTTTTTTTCACACACGGGATGTGTGAGAGTGAGAAAGGGTGAGGAGGAGAAACTGAGGAGATACTGAGGAGAGACCGCGACGTCCGATGGAGGGATCGGCGTCGTTAGAACAAGGCAGCGGCGTCATCAATGGATTTCGCGCGACGTTCGGCGTCGTTTGACCGCAGCGCCTAAAGGAATCCGAGTGTTCGGTAGTACCAAAAAACAGAGGATGTATGACGAAGAGCGAGTAGCGAACGAGTCAGTTTGCAGCGAGCAGCAAGAGCGTTAAGAGCGATTTTATATAAAAATCGTTAATTTAGTGACTTGAGAAATTACCAATTACTTTTATTTATAATATTAAGCATTTCTAAACATTTTAATCGCCATATTCGATCCGCCATTTTGAATTTCTATATTTTGACCTCAAATTCGGCTTCAGCGACCAAAAAAACTGAAGTATACAAATTATTGAAAAAATTCGCCCCGTCATTTTTTTGGGGCGGTTTCAGTACATTTTACTGAATTTTGCTCTGCCATGGAAGGGGTTAAAAACGTAGACATACGATACGTGAAGTTTCAGATTTCTGACAAACATACCACGGTTTTATTAGCCGATATTATCCATAATTTAATAATGCAAAATATATAAAGAGAAGATAACTTGCGATATTCGACATTTACAAAATTTTCTCTGGTAAATGTAGAAACGGGCTTCTTCACCGATTTACCTAAAACTTTGAAATATTGCGTATTTTAATGCGCAAAACGCAAATCTGGAAATTAAAAATATCGTTCTTGAATGAAATAAGAGTTATGAAGTACTGAAAAGTGATGGTTCTGAAGTGATAGTGATAGTTAGGAAATCTGTCGATACCGACGATATGCAGCAACATAAACATGATTTGTAGCCCAGTGATTTTCAACTGGTATGCCGTGCGAGGATCTAAGGTGTACCGCGAAAATTTTTAAAAATTTTAATTGTCTTTTTATTACAAATTATAATAAATTGTTTTGTTTTATTTTTTGGCCTTGTTTGGTTTTACTTTATTTTTGGTGATGATACATTTTGTTTGTGTTAATAAATAAATAAAAAAAGATATATTCTTTTTTATAGTCTTTTTTTTATCATCATAATTGAAATATGTCACGGAAGTTTAACTATAGGTTCGAATGTGCCGTGAGATAAAGAAAGGTTGAAAAACACTGCTGTAGCCATATATGCATGCTCTGTGGTGATATGCGCATATAAAAAGCGTAAGTTTGAAACATCTATGTATTAAATCTTTGACTTATATACAAAGTCTAAGATTATTAGAATTAGATTGTAACTAACTGAAGTTAATGGCTGCGTTCCGATATTTATTGCCAGTACTGAAAATATATAGTTTGTGTCACGTATACTATAGATTTTCAGTACTGGAATATCGGAACATTGGAACGCAATCAATATACCAAGTTTTCCAAAAGTAACGGACCCTGCCCTATCTCAAAATCTATGCATTATAGGGAAAAATGACCCGAACAAAAGTTTTAGGGTTCATAAAGTTCTGTTCTTTTGAGACCTCAAATTTGACCTTGATCTCGACCTTGAAGGTCACTTAAAGGTCAACTTGCGTTCTTTAAACAGGAACTCCTATTTTTTATTACACTGTTCTTTTCTACCAATTAATTTGAACAACTGTTGTCTAAAACATTTTTTTATTTGCCTAATATTTTTTGAGATATTTTAGGAAAACTTGATAACTTTTTCAATATTTAACTGACGATATCTCGCTATTTGTCGGAAGAAAAAGTGGTACTAGATTTTCTTGCTTTATTTAGTCTCAAGAATATATTGTTACAATGGTGCCCTGATTTTTGTTAATTTGATGATTTTGAAATTTCCAAAAGTCAGTAAGTCAGTAAAAAGCTCAAGTTAACCTTCAAATGACCTTCAAGGTCGAGGTCAAGGTCAAATTTGAAGTCACAAAAAAACAATTTTATGAACCCTAAAACTTTTGTTCGGGTCATTTTTCCCTATAATGCATAGATTCTGAGATAGGTGAGGGTCCGTTACTTTTAGAAAACTTAGTATATATGTAGTAACGTAAGATGTACATCTTGCGAAGGGGCTTTGGTGATTTGTTCAAGATGGTATTTTAATATCTTAAGTAACCTTTGAGATGTTTTAACCATTGCTTATTGTTTATTAAAAAGTTATTAAAAAAGGAGTTTAAAAAAAAATAGATAGAACTTATTTTTCCGACACAATGTCAAAAGATCCCCTTAAAACTCACATATCTAACCATGTGCAAAGATATGAGTTAAATTAGGCTAGGTGATAGACCTTATAAGGGAACTTTTTCAATAACGTTCAACAATATATAAAGATGCAATAAGTTAGGGTAGGTTTTTTAGGGGAAAAGGTGCATGAGAAGGGTTCTGCCCCTCCTCCGTTCATATGTATTATTTAATATTTTTTAATATATATTATGTCAGAAAAATAAGCTCTATCTATGATTTCTTTTTTTAATAATTTTTTAATAAATAAAGAGGAATGATTAAAACATCTCGAATATTACTTAGGACTAAAATAACATCCTAAACAAATTAACAAAGTCCCTTTACAAGGTGAACATCTTACATTATTATATGTATATAGGGTGTCCTATAATTGTAACACATCAACTCCATAGGGGCGTAGAGCTAAACGAGAGGAACGAAAAGTCCTCTTCCATTTAGCGATATCTCGTATAGTTTTTTAGTAATAACCGCATAAAGTTTGGCGTTTGTCACGCTCATCGCAGCTTATAGATGCTTCGCGGCGAGCTATGTGCGTCGAAGCTGAGCGGTAACGCGGCTCGCGCTGGCTGGCCCTCACGCGGCGTCAAAGCGCCGAGATGCTATCGTGACGGTCAGCTCGAGACGCGTTATCGCTCATAAGTAAACCTCGGGGAACGTCAGACGCCGATTTGTTTCCAATTTTTTATAGTTATTTTTATGTCAAAATATAAAAAAATCTGTTATCACTTTTAGCTTAAATTAATTTTTTCAATTTTTTCGAAATTTCTGAAGCTTTCTGTTCATTCTTTTTCTGTCCGTTTCTTGTTCATTTTTTATCAGATTTTGATGTTAAAATGAGCTTGTTTGCTGGATAGTGAGCCGAAAGATTACCCAACGTCGAATGTAGCGTAAAACTGAAGACTTTTTTAACAATGACGTCAGCCATTTTAGATCCGCCATTTTGAATTTTACAAAATGGTTCTGAATGGTTCATAATCGGCGACATGTGTGCAAATTTCACACATGATTTCACGCGCTGATTTCAACAAATCAGATATATATATTTTTAAGAAATATTGTTTTAAATATGTATCAAATAGTGTACTTGTGCAAAACTTCAAAAATTTCCAAAAAATTGAAAAAATTAATTTAAGCTAAAAATGATAACAGGTTTCTTCATATTTTGACATAAAAAATAACTAAAAAATTGGAAACAAATCGGCGTCTTCCTCGAGGTTTACTTGTCAACTTCGACGCATACAGCACGCCGCGGAGCGTCTATAGGCCTCGATGGGCATGACAAACGCCAAACTTTACGCAGTTATTACTAAAAAACTATACGAGATATCACTAAATGAAAAAGGACTTTTTCGTTCCTCTCGTTTAGCTCTACGCCCCTATGGAGTGTTACAATTATGGAATACTCTGTATGTTAAATTCCAATCTAATTTTAATCTTAGACCTTGTATACATGCGTTTCAAATTCACGCTTTTCGCATGCGTATATCACCATAGAGCATGCATATATGGCTACAGATCATGTTCATGTTGCATATCGTCGGTATTGACAGATTTTCTAACCTCAGAACTATAATTTTTCAGCATTTCATAACTTTTATTTTATTCAAGAGCGACACTTTTAACTTTTAACTTTCAGATTTGTCTTGCGCATTAAAATATGCAACATTCCAAAGTTTCAGCCAAATCAGTGAGAGAGCCCGTCTCCTTCACATTTACCGTTTCATTAAATGGAAGACAGACATAATTTTTGTTCAAATTTTCTTCAATAAGTTATCTCGAATTTCACTTACTGTTTTGTACATGTGCATTGTTCAGATTCCGATACTGATTTTTGCTCCAATTATTGTTCGCAAAATAATTCATAATCATTGAAATTCACTGCGGTACTTAGCTGATCGGATTAAGCCGATTGTATTCCTCGTCGCTAAACCTTACATTATTGGTCTGTTCCTTTTAGCTGCTGAACTAGTGCAATAAGTTACAGTGAGAAAAAATATAGATATCTCACTCTAACTTATTGCATCAGTTCAGCAATACAGCTAAAAAGAACAGATCATATAATGACTGCGTTCCGTTTCACGCATTATGCGCGCATTTTCTATAGTACGGTCGCGAGCATAAAGGTTTGTGACCGTTTTTTTGCAACTTTCGGAATGCATCCCGACTCGAGAAGAATGAGAGTCACTGCTCCGCCTGTGGAGCACGCCTGCGCAGTGACTCACGACGAGAGGCGAGAAATGAAATATACGCGGTGGGACATATTATAATAATACAGACTCAGATGAAATGAATACTCCAGTATTAAATGGAAATGAGGGAACACAGAACAGACAAGAATCATCCGATGTAAGTCTTATACTCCGAAGGACATCCGAAAAAGGTAAAATATGAACTTAATTAAGAGAATTAAGCTGTATTACGATAGTTACGATTCTGTTATACATTTATATATAATTTATTGTTCCAGCAACAGCCACCTTCTATAGCAGAAGCAATGATATTAGATACAGAAGCAACTGTTATAGCGAACTTTGAATTTTTGGGACATACAGACGTGGACATGGAAGAAGGAGATGGAGACGATGAAATTTATGATGCAAATACAGATACCAAACCAAATAAAGTAACGCTCACTATCATCTTGCATTTTAATGATATTGTTCACGCTATTTGTTAGCATAATTTCTTATTTTTCAGGCATCTATCTCCCTTCTAGTGGAAGATGTTGATACAGATGCAGAGGCAGAAGTATTAAATGAATTAAATCTCACAGAAATTGAAGAATCGCCACCTGGTTCTATTCATCTAGAAATGAATTCTTCAGAGGGGTTAGTAAATCCCTTTTTATTCGTATACTTTAAGATAAAATATAAACCTATCACAATAATAGATATTTTGTAATATTGTCACATATAATCACATAATCTAATGATGCCTGTAGGTTTATTACATAGGCGATTACAACAAGATCCAAGACGCCCAAATAATAAAGAAGGCGGTGACTCCACGCTGGAATTCGGAGAATTACAATTATGTGTTAACAATGATGCAGAAATATCGTTTATTATTTTTTATTATTTTTACGATGTAATTTTTTTATTCCACTCACCTAGATTCATTTCTATGCAGCACTTTGTGTGATCGTATCTCGGCTCGGGACATCCGTTTACGCAAAAGTAGCAGTCGCCCAATGTAGATATCTTCTCACATCCGTGATGCTCGCAGAGATTATCGAAACGTTCGAAGAGATCAAACTGTATTCATTCAAACTGTAACTTACATAGTTGAAAAAACGATTCGACTAAAATACAGGGGAAAATTCTTGGAACTTACATCGTATGATATTTCTGCATCATTGTTAACACATAATTGTAATTCTCCGAATTCCAGCGTGGAGTCACTGCCTTCTTTATTATTTGGGTGTCTTGGATCTTGTTGTAATCGTCTATATAATAAACCTACAGGCATCATTAGATTATGTGATTATATGTGACAATATTACAAAATATCTATTATTGTGATAGGTTTATATTTTATCTTAAAGTATACGAATAAAAAGGGATTTATTAACCCCTCTGAAGAATTCATTTCCAGATGAATAGAACCAGGTGGCGATTCTTCAATTTCTGTGAGATTTAATTCATTTAATACTTCTGCCTCTGCATCTGTATCAACATCTTCCGCTAGAAGGGAGATAGATGCCTGAAAAATAAGAAATTATGCTAACAAATAGCGTGAACAATATCATTAAAACACAAGATGATAGTGAGCGTTACTTTATTTGGTTTGGTATCTGTATTTGCATCATAAATTTCATCGTCTCCATCTCTTTCCTCTTCCATGTCCACGTCTGTATGTCCCAAAAATTCAAAGTTCGCTATAACAGCTGCTTCTGTATCTAATACCATTGCTTCTGCTATAGAAGGTGGCTGTTGCTGGAACAATAAATTATATATAAATGTATAACAGAATCGTAACTATCGTAATACAGCTTAATTCTCTTAATTAAGTTCGTATTTTACCTTTTTCGGATGTCCTTTGGAATATAAGACTTACATCGGATGATTCTTGTCTGTTCTGTGTTCCCTCATTTCCATTTAATACTGGAGTATTCATTTCATCTGAGTCTGTATTATTATAATATGTCCCACCGCGTATATTTCATTTCTCGCCTCTCGTCGTGAGTCACTGCGCAGGCGTGCTCCACAGGCGGAGCAGTGACTCTCATTCTTCTCGAGTCGGGATGCATTCCGAAAGTTGCAAAAAGCGGTCACAAACCTTTATGCTCGCGACCGTACTGTAGAAAATGCGCGCATAATGCGTGAAACGGAACGCGGCCAATTCAGACCTATAATGGAAGGCAATAAATTATAGAACAAACTGGAAGGAGTACTATGTTTATACGTTCTGAATCAACATGTAAGACAAAGACCATGACCAAGTGGAGTCTCGTTCTCTGTCTTACTAACGTACTATAGTCTATTCCTCCTAAAGTTAAGATTCCATGCATGTATTGAGCTCCGGCAAACGACTGCGGTGATCAATCAGGAGTCAGGCGCAGGTCCGGTTGCGGCAAGCTCCGGCATGCGTTTGGTTCCTGATTGGTCACCGCGGCCGTTTACCGGAGCTCACCGCATGCATGGAATCTTAGCTTTAAGCCGTGTTCCAAAATTCACTGCTAATGCTGAAAAGTTATAGTTTGCGTGACACAAACTATATATTTTCAATATTAGCAGTGAACTTTGGAACACGGCCACAATCGACCCCCAGATCCAGTTCAGCAGTGCAGCTAAAAAGAACAGACTCTAGTTCTGAACCAGTGGATCAGTGCAGTTTTAAGCTAAGACTCCATGCATGCGGTGAGCTCCGGCAAACGGCTGCGGTGACCAATCAGGAGACAGACGCATGCCGGAGCTTGCCGCAACCGGACTTGCGCCTCCCTCCTGATTGGTCACCGCAGCATTTGCCGGAGCTCACCGCATGCATGGAGTCTTAGCTTTAGTGCAGTAGTAGTTTAGTTGGAAAACAGACCCGAAGTCGTTAAACCAAAAGAAGGTGCGTTGATGTAAATTGGTACGGCCGTTTTTAAATATTTTCAAGAAAGTTAAATGGAGAAGTGTAAAATCTGTGGTTGTGTTAATTTCTATAAAGAATGCGGTTATTTTTTCTGCGTTACATGTCAAACACAAAACGAGGTAAGCTTTATAAAAAGTTTACGTTCTATGGAGGTAACATGTGTTGTAACATGAAATTTACTTAGGATATCAGAGAAGAAATATTAGAAGTACACATGGATGATACTACAAAGTTGCGGAAAACGAGAATTCGTCGCATGAAGGATAGTAAAACAGGTCTGGTTTTCCTTTTTTGAAAGTAAAGGTGTAACTTATAGAAAGTAATATCTAATACCCAAAAGAAATCTAACATACTTCTATTATTTGTGTTATTGATAATATATAAGTTTAATATCTATTTATATGCAGATAAAGAATTTGGATGGACATCATGGGAACTTTACAATTTTGTTTTGATTGGTTTAACAAATGAACTTATTGAACTTGGTGCACCAGCAGATATAAAAATAACAGTATTACAATTATGGGCCAGGTATCTTGGAAAACTTGAAGTAGCATTTACATCAACAAAAAAAAAGCTTATACCAAAATTAGCTAGAAGATATAAAAAAAGGTTTTTATTGCTTATATTCTTTAAAAACTATATGTACTTAAGGCTCTTGGTTCTTTGCTGTAGAACTCTGATGATATCAGAAATAAAAAAACATTTAAAATTTTTGTATATCATCACTAAATAAAAAGATTCATGAAAAAGAATATTTCAAAGCATACTTGTAAAATGTTTTGAGTACTATACTTCTCTGTTGGAAATCAATAAACAATCATAAAAAGTCTATAAGATGAAATTAGTCATATGGAATGATTATGCATGTGCATGACTAGATTTTATATTACAGTCGTTTTATGGTTGATTGTTTATCGAAGAAGAAACATAGTGTTTAGAATATTTTATGAATATGTTCTAGTGATTTGAATTATTCTTTCATATATTTTTTTATTTAGAAATGATATACAAGAATTTCTAGAATGCTATTTTTCACTTCTAATGTTACTATTACAATATGGCTATAGCATACATCCAAGAACCATAAAATAAGTTTAATTTTCATTGTATTATTATTTCATATTTATATTTCATATTCATATTTATTTCAATATATTCCAATTTGTTATATATATTGCATTTGTATTTACAATAGTTATTAATACAGAATAGTAGTTGATTATGCAATATATTTTTACAGAGATGCTGAAATTATATATGGTAAAATTTTCTCACAGAATAAAACCAGAAAACGAAAGGAAACTGATAATAGTATAGCAAGTTCTAGAGCTTCTACTTATCAAAATCAAGAAAGTACTTTAAGAAAATTAAATAGGAATAAAGTATGATTTATAGTTTAAATATATATTTGCAAAAATTTCTGAATTAATCAAATGTAATATCTATTATTTGTAGAAACTTATGATCACTACTGACTATGATAGGTTTATACAGTCACAAGCAAGTTCAGAAGGAGATGCGCTTAGTGGATTTAATCAAAGCGGATACAGTATGCATTCTAGTATAGAACAACTTTCGGAAGACTATAAAACGTATAAAACATAAATATATATATATATATAAAATCAGTAAAATATATTGATGTAATATATAATATATAAGTACTAGTTTAATATTTGTTTCACAGGATATATTTTAATTTTTCTGCTAAAGAGGAAACAAGAAAAATAAAAGGCATGATGAAAAAAGCACCACGAAATAAACGCAATAAATATAAAAAAGGTTATATAACTAATAAGTATAAAATGGGGCCAGAGTTAATTACACCTATGAAATTATGGGCAATCTTATATTTGGCTTTAAGAATCCACAATAATGCTATGCAATTAGGCGATATGCTAAGGTAATTTATAAGTAATTTGTTTTCTCGGACATTTTTCATTAGATAATTTGAAGAGTACTGTTGTAAAAATAACATACTTATTAATATTCTTCAGGTATAAAATCTATGTCTTATATGTTGAAAAATTGTTCTTTAAGTAATTTTATAATATGTTTACTATGTCGTACATATAGAGAATATCTGACAAAATATATATATATGTTATAAATATATATGTTTGCATATAAAACTCATTAAATAAAACAAAAAATTCTTATATTATTGTGTAAACAACCACAATAACTGATTAAAAAAAGATTATTGAATTAGTATGCAACGAAATTGGTCTATAAGACAAACTGAAAAGATGTCTTGAGTCTCTCGATTTTTTAACAACAGTATGCGATGTTTCGAATTAATAACGGATTCAAAATATCTTAATGTTAGATAGTGCTTATAAAGCTTATTTTACCGCAATCTGTAAACTTATTTGCTAATATTTTTTAATTAATTCCTTAATAAGTACAACAAACTTTGCAAAATAATACATAACAATTTTCTATTCCAGTTGATGCTTACAAATGAGTTATATCGTTAATTTTCAGACTTCCTACATTTATGTATATATGCAAATACAAATGTTGAATATCTGATAATTAACATATAGACACATACACATACATACACACATACATATATACATACATATATATATATATATATACATACATACATACATGTATACACGCATACATACATGCATATGTTTTTTTCGTTTTCAGATATGGAAGAGAAGGACATTTATCTTATTATAAATTAGATCACTTGATACCTCCTGAAGTAACTTTGACAAGAAATGATCTGAATTTTTTATCACGAGTTATGGATGTCACGCATAAGGGCATGAGAAGAATAATAGGAAATATGGCAACATTTCTTGGAGTCACAAAAATAATATGCCCAAATTTCTTATCGCTTATCAGTCGATATTGTATTGAATTAGAATTGCCAAGTATAAATATATCACTTTAACAGTTAATTTTTCATGTGTCAAAATTGGCATGCATAAGAGAAAATAAAAATATAATATTGTTTACAGAAGGCATATTGTTATATGGAGAAAGATTAGTGGCTTTATCTCGTCCAAAGATGAACTTTGACAAAAAGTCTTGCATTCCCAATTATGAAGGTCGTGCTATGGCTTTTATTATCATAGTAATGAAAATTTTATTTGCTATGGATGGCATTACAGAATATGAAATTAGTAATTTTGCTGACAAAGTTAATAGGTATGTATTTTTACATAATAATTAATAGGCATATATCTTTATACAAATTGTTTTCTAATTGTTAAAAATGTAGGGTTAATTTAAAAAATGTATTTCTCTTTTTCTCTCGCTCGCTCATTTCTTTTTTTTCTTGTTCCTCTTTTCCTATCTTCCTTGTCTCTCTCTCTCTTCTTTTTTTATAAATTTTTATTGTAATTTATATATATATTAATTTATTTTTATATTAGAATATATTAAACTTAGAAAAATGTTTGATAATGAACAAAATACTTGAGTGAAGAAATATCTTTACTGCTTTATAGAGATTTAATATAAATAGGCATTATAGTTACATACAGGGTATGGCAAAAGTCTGGTAACACTCAAATATCTCTTAAAAAATGAATTTTAGAAAAAAACATTTTAGACAAAAGTTATAAGGTTTAAAAAGACGCATTCAACGGTAATATCCGCTTGACCTTGGGTGGCGTTGCCAAGGTCAGGTAATACATTGAACTTAACAAAGAAGTTTTTTAGTATTGCGAGAAAAATGATATACAGTGTATCCGGTAATTAGCTGCTAACCCGAAATGGAAGGTAGATTGGGTTAAGCTGAAAAGAAAAGTAAAATACAATTTTGCAAGAATCGCAATAATTATCGAGTTATTAATGACAGATATCTGAAGAATAGAAGCACACCGACATAGATGATTGGAGAAGCGTTGCAGTCACTCGGGCCACAGCACGGTCTAGTTGATCCAGTAAGGCCCAGTTTAAACGAGTTTAAAGGAGTTTAAAGCAAGTTGTGGAACTGGGCCTAATTGTTGCCGCTGTGCGGCGAGGGGAAGAACAATGTGCCACTATTCGTATTTTATGTCGCCGCACCTACGTCTCGCCGCACGCTGCCAATAGTGGCTAGGTCGACTGGGCCGCACTATGACCCGAGCGGCTGCAACGCTTCTTCAATTATCTATGTCGGCGCGTTCCCACTCCTCCGATTTCTATTAACAACTATTCATTAACAACTCGATAATTATTGCGATTCTTGCAAAATACCTTAGTTTTCTTTTCAGCTTAATCTCCCTTCATACTTCAGATTGGCAGCTAATTACCGGACACCCTGTATATTATGAAACATGTATATCTGTGTACATGTATATCTGTATATTTTTATTAACAAGCTGTTGATAAAATTTACAATAGAGAGAGATGTCGATATGGAAAAAAATATGTTTAAATATGTTCATAAATTTTAAAAGTACTCATATCAATATTATGAACAGAGTCAATATATTTTCAATGAAATATACAATTCTTATTTTTAATAAGATATTTAAATATTCATTAAAAGACTTTTGATTTAACATAATGAAAAGATATCAGGAAAAAATATAAAAATGTATTTTATTATTGTATTCTGCTAAGTTTTATAACGGAAAACGGCAATAAGCTATAATATTGATCCTATTTTGATGATGTAATTGTCGTTTATTGCAAGCTTAATATAGAATTTGTATTTCGGCTGGAGTTGTACTTGCGTAAGCTATGAGTGACACGCGCTTTTCCATTCGCGACAAACACGAGATAATTTCTATTTGGAAAGTTCACATACATTCATCATCTGTTAATTTGCATTTAAAAATCACTTTTTGTATTAGCAAAGCTTTGTATCTTAAAGACAAGTGAGCGAAACCGATTTGTGAGATACGCGAACGAGACCGATTGGAAAATTATGACAGGCTACAAATCATTCGACTTAATTATATTATAAGACGGAAATAAACGTCGCATTTTTAACTTTTGTTCTCTTTAATTTTACTTGCCACGAGGAAAAAGAAATATCCATAACTCGCGATTAAAAAAATAAAAAATAAAATTCTTTAATCTTACGGGAACAAAGGTGCGCTAATAAATGATAAAAATTGTTAATCTCAAGACAAACAACTTTACGAAAAATATAAATTCGTAGATTCACTTAAAAGTAAAAATATATTTTATGTTTTCTAGATGTAATTAATACTCCGTTCTACTTGTTCATATTTTTATAGTTCATTTTGAAGTTAAAAAAGCTTGCATATTAAAATAATAAAGCTCGCGAGAATAAAAGATCGAATATTTTACTCTCAAACGTTACGTTATAATATTATATTCTACTAATTTATGATACTATATTTGCTATTACACCTGCGATTATTAAAATTTTTAAGTTTTAAAAATAATGTGTATGAATATTATCACATGTATCGATCGGTACATCGCACCAAGCGCTCAACATCAGCGCCTACGTGGCGTGCGCGCGAACAATCAATTATTCCATCCCTGCTTGCCTTCTGTACCCAGCCCATATTAAACTATTTATCTATTTATCTAGCTATTTATCTTAATAACTCTAACTGATAAGGAACATCTACGAAGTGTATGTCTCCAATTTCGACGAAACTTAGAATATTTGTAAAGTAGCCAAAAATGAGAGACCCATATTTTTCTTATCGGCAAAAGCTCAAGTTTAAAAGTGAAACTACCCCTCAAAGTTTCATCCCCTTTATGCTATCTCGATAATTATTGCAGATAAGAAAAACTTTTTAAACAAAAATTGTACGGTTTTTATACTATAATAGATGGCTCCAAGATAGAGTGTGGTTCTATAGAAATGATATCAAATATAGAGCATCAAATATCTCTTGCTAGATACGTTCTGAATAACTTTTCTAACTCCTTTGTAATTGAGAAAAATGTCACAAAATTAGCAAAATATGCAGGATTGAATTGTTTATCTTAAAATAATATGATAGTACTCATGATATATTTGGCTTATCAATTAAATCAAACAATTCTGATGCCACTTGGAACACAAAATATCATTAACATGGAAATATTAAAAAATATATCATGAATATGAGGTCACAAAATCGTTTTTTTTTACTTTTATAATAAGCTATATATAAGTTAAGTATTAATTCTTAGTATGTAACAAGAATATAATTTTTATCTATAAATAGTAGAAATACTATTGGTTGCATTGTTTATAATACACACACTATTGCTGTAGGAATTAGAAGCGGTAATTTAAACTAGCGCTCGGAGTTACTTTCACTTTTTAAGCGATTTTCGGGAATTTTACTTCATTTACTTTCTCTTACCTTTTCCTTACTGCACTTTATATCTGACAGTCGCATTCCTCGCCTCAGGACCGTTGACATCATAGGCGCTTAACAATAGTTGTAATTATAGTTAATTTTACAAATGATAAGTATTTCTTAGGTGTTAAGATATCAACAACCCTGAAGTGGGAAGCATGATTATTAGATTTATAGTCAACGGGCATGCTGGTACAATAAAGAGAAGATAAGAGGAAATGAGAGAAAACTCCCGAAAATAGCTTGAAAAGTGAAAGTAATTCCAAGTATTCCTTTAAACAAACAATTAATGGAAAATATAAGTGGCTCTTCCTAAGTGGCTAAGTTAGGCTGCAATGCATATGCTAATAGAAATATAAGTTATTCCTTGACAAGTGACATAGAATTCACTACGAAACATGGTTTATCAAAAATTATAGCAAATAATATAGAACAAGAATGTAATCCATGGAAAGCTTTGAAGCAAAATTTTGATTATATGTTAATTAAATATGACCATATTGCGAGTGGTATTGTATTTAAGAAATGTGGTAAATGAAGCATATATTTTATCACTACTAATATATTATATACAGTAATTACATAGAATTGTGTGACATTTGGTACAACTTTAGATAACGAAAATATGGTAATATATATTGGAAAACATTTTTCACACAATTACGATTTCTCTTTTGTAAATATAGATAATTTACATTACAATACATTAATTGTCAAGTTTTATTTTGTTTTGTTACATTTTATCTTGATTAAAATAAAATATTTTTTTTTATTCCAGTGTAACAAGTGATGAAGATGCTTATACAACGAGACTGTTCAATTTTCGAGAATGGCAAAGATATATCGAATGTAGACGAACTGTCTTAGCTAATATGCATTTTCCAACTAAATTGAAATATGATTTAAATACATCAGTCATTAATAGCTTATATATAAAATTTTTGGAATCGATACATTCCAAAACAAACAGAGAGCAATCTGAAATAACTACGTATAAACATTTAATTTCCCGTGAACTTGTTCATGCGGTGAAACAATGTATCACTAACATAAATTATGTCGATATATCGTTGAACGAGATAAACATATTCACTCCTTCTTTAAGGCCACATCATTCGTATCTTCAACAATTATTGAAATATCCACAATATGACATTCCAAGTATACTTAGAAACGATTTCTATTTTACAAAAATTGGATTTATGACAAAACCAGAATCGTAAGTAATGCAGTTTTTCAATTATAAGATGTGTAACATATATGTAATATATTCTTTTTCTTTTCTCATTTTAGTATCTACGAATTGGCTCAACGATACCAGATGCAGTTAGATTTTATTAATTCAAATTTGCATTTTGTCGAAAAGATCGTACCTTTTTATGAACAAGCGAAAATGACAAGTATAAATGATTTGAAAAACTATATTGAAGTACATGATTTTATGGAAGAGAAAATTAGAGATGAACAGAAAGAAGATTTTATCGACTATTTACATAGAAAGATACCTTGTCAGTTTAAAATAGATGCAAAGAAAAAATACTATTATAATGACACTCGAACTACAAATATAAATGTGAAAGCTTCTCCATTAACTTTAACTGAATTTATATTCAACGAGACTTCTTCAGATGGTAAATTATCGATTCCAGATGATAATGATAATGAAGATTTTCAAGATGATTGTATAAATATTTTTTCCGAAGAAACAAAATCATCATTATCGAAGTTTTGTGAGGCGTATAATATAAATTTTTCTAATACAGAAAGAACAACTATATCCGAAAATTTATGTTTGGGAAAAAAACGGAAACGCAAACTTTTAAGAGATACGAACGGCAAATTTGTTAAACAAAACGATATTCCTTTGAAACACAGTATTGAAAATTTAACCGAAAATTATTGTGTAAAGCAAACTGAGACGATTCCAGGAGATAACTTGGAAGTTAAAGATATACTACTAGAAATCCCAGACATTTGTAATTCAAGTGACACATCTATGTTTAGTGATCATACGAAGATTGAGGTTGAACATGATCAATCTGAGAATTGTAGTGAAGCATTTAAAATAGCAATGGATAAATCTTTTTATACAATAGATAATGAAACAGACAAAACTCTTAGATTGTTTAAACCTTTTAAAGATTATTGGATGTATCATTGTAACTTTAGTCGTGTGAAATCAAAAAATTTTGAATTATTCGAGAAAACGTTACCGAGGAGCTTCCGATGGTTATTGAATGAATGTGCAAGCGTCATCGAAATGTCACCAGAAGATCTTTATGAAGAAGTATGTCTCATTGAAACTTATTACACAAACCTTTCTGAACAAATGGAAGTTCATACAAATACGAATTTTGAAAATCGCAACCAGGCGTATTTCAACCGAATTCTGAAAAGATGGTAAAACAAAATAAAAATAAAAATCGAACTTTATATTGCATAAATATAATTATATTGCATAAATATAATCAATATAACATATCAATATATCTTTCTTTCATAAAATGGCTATCTCTTGGAAATATAATGCTTATTTACATTGATTAATATTCATATCGGATATTGATTTTCTATGAAATCCATCATTTTGATACATTACTGACCGTATGTATATACAGGGTGTACGAAAAGTATCGAAATCCCTTAATATCTTGGAAAATACGCATTTTAGAAAAAAATGTTTCATACAAAGTTAGTAAGGTTTTATAAGGCGCATTACATGGCAATATTATTATGATCTTGAATAGCATTATTAAGGTCACGGGAAGGTCATCTTAAATTTCTTAAATAGAACCCCCTATTTTTCATTATTACATATTCTTGTAGCTTATCTCGAGGGCTTTCCAAAACACTATAATTAAATCTTTTTTCGTTAGGTATTTTTCGAGTTACAAGACTTAAAAGTTTAAGTTAGTACCGTCGGCATTAGCATTACCCAAGGTGTACCGCGTGGAGGTTGCATGGTCAGATTTACACCTCTTGGAGAGGGAATGCAGAAGCAGTTCCCCTAACTCCCCCTCCTCACGGTCCGACAGGTAGACATCCCGCAGGGGTTTTAGTTGGTAAGAGTCCGACATAACCTCTGCCCCTCCCCAAGGGGGCGGGGGTATCCATGATGGATTTCCCCTGCGTGAACAAAAAAAAAGATTTACAACTCTTGTGTGTGGCGCGAGCGCGCGACGTGTGCCCTCGTGTATACATACGAGGTGTGGTTATAAAATAACGAAACTGATGCTTCCACAGAAGAAGTACGCATGCGCCAAACGCGAACGACCGACAGCTGTGTAGCATGAAGCCTTCTCGTTCGAATGTGGCGCCTCCCGTGTCTGTAAACAAATTAGTCTGGTCGTGGCCTTCGTTTGTATAAGAGCTGTTGTTTTGTTTTGCCGGAAAAATGATAAGTGTAAAAATAGAGCAACGAATCGTCGTGAAATTTCACATGAAACTTGGAAAAAGCGCTACTGAAACTTATCTTTTATTAAAAGAAGTGTATGGTAATGAATGTTTATCACGTGCGCGAGTTTTCGAGTGGTTTAAGCGTTTCCAAGATGGCCGAGAAGACGTTGAAGATGATTCACGTCCGGGTCAAAAACCTTCCACGTCAAAAACAGATGAAAATATTGAAAAAGTCGATAATCTGATTCGATCTGACCGTCGGTTAACTATTCATGCGATTGCTGAAACTGTAGGAATTGACAAAGAATGCGTAAGGCAAATTTTACATAAAGAACAAGTCATGAGTTTTCCATCAAGACCGCGCCGACTCATTCTGCATTGTCTGTCAAGACATTCCTAGCCAAGTACAACATCCCAGTGTTAGACCATCCGCCTTATTCGCCAGACCTTGCACCATGCGACTTTTATCTGTTTCTCAAGGTCAAATCTGCATTAAAAGGAACAAGATTTCAGTCCGTTGAAGCTGTAAAAGAAAAAGCGGCACGTGTCATGAAGGAGCTCATAGAAGAAGACTTCCAGCACTATTTCGAACAATGGAAAATTCGCATGGAGTGTTGTAGGGATAGAAGAGGGGTGTATATTGAAGGTGATAATAACTAAAAATGTATAAATTCAAAATAAAATGTTTTGCAGCAATAGTCTCGTTATTTTATAGCCACACCTCGTACATACATATTTTTATTTAAGTGTGTGTAAATACCGCTACATGTTTCTAAATGTTTGCATTCGTAATATTATGTGAATTAATTCGGTCCGTTTTTTCTTCCAAGAAAAGACTTTAGTATGAAAAAACATGAAAAAGTACACTAATCAAAGTATTTGCCATCGCTTGCTATTATTGTTTCCCATCTGTTTGACAGTTGTTGCATTCCGTGACAAAAAAACGACTCGTCCTTCGAAGCGATCTATTCATTGAGCCATTTCTCTATTTCTTCATAATTGTTGAAGTGCTGGTCCGAAAGTCCGTGTACCATCGATCTGAACAAGTGATAATCTGATGGAGCAATGTCTGATGAATACGGCGGGTGAGGTAAAACGTTCCAACCAAGTGCTTCCAAGGTGGCCTTCACAATCTTTCCAACATGTGGCTGAGCGTTATCGTGCTGGAAGATCACTTTGTCGTGTCTCTTTGCATATTCCAGCCGCTTATTCTTCAATGCGTGGTTTAAACGGATCAATTATTGTTGGTCAAGTTCGGCAGTGATGGTTTGGCTCTATTTTAATAGTTCATGATACACTACACCCTTCTGGTCCTACCATATACAGAGCATTACTTTCATGCCGTGAATATTCCGCTTTGGTATCGATGTGAATAGTTTTTCTGGGTCGCTAATGGATTTCCTTCGTTTGGGATTATCGAAATATATCCATTTTTATCTCTAGTCACAATATGATGCAAAAAATCTTTTCTTTTTTGCCTGGCAAGCAAGATTTCAGACATGGCTTTTCGCCTCACGATGTCTCTTTCTTTCAGTTCGTATGGCACCCATCTTCCTTCTTTGTAACCTTTCCCATGGCTACCAAACGCACAGAAATTGTTGATCGATCAACATTCAACAACATTGCGCGAGTTCATGTTGCGATTGACACGAATCTTCATCGATTAGCGCGTGCAATTCCTCGTTCTCGAACTTCTTCGGCTGACCTGGACGAAGTTTATCATCGACACTGAAATCATCACTTTTGAAACGTCGAAACCATTCTCTGCATGATTTATCGGTGGGAGCACTTTCACCATAAGCTTCTACGAGCATTTGATGAGCTTCAGCGGCTGTTTTCTTCAAATGAAAACAGAAAATGAGAACTTCCTGGAAATGATGCTTTTTCGGCTCGAATTTTGACATTTTCGAATAATACATTATATAATTGCTTATATGTACATTATAAATGTTATATAAACACGATGTTATATAAACACGATGTTATTGTTACAAACTCAAACGTTTATCAACTGAATATTATAGATGTGTGAAGTTGGCCCCCCGACCATCGAGAACTTAATTTTGACCATTGCCATTCGTTTGGTGATCGTTTGGTAGCGTTTGGTAGTCTATTCTTAACGTTTGATAGTCCAAACGGTTTTCTCTACTGAGCGCAATTCAATTCAATTCAATAGACGGCTCTGGGCGTGTAGGTTGCCGCTCCAACGCCACTCTCTGGTAATTGAGCGCAATGATTGTTGACATACTTATGTCATACCACATATATTTCATTTCTCGCATTTCGTTGTGAGTTACTGCGCAGGCATGCTCCGCAGGCGGAGCAGCAGCTCTCATTTTTCTCGAGTCGGGATGCGTCCCGAAAGTCATTAAAAAAAAGTGACAACCTTTATATCCGCGACCGTACACGTAATGCACGGAGTAATGCGCAAAATACGGACGCGATTCTAACCTTTCGAAATGACACACGTATATGTAATTGCCATTGCAATAAGCCCGAATGTGATACAAGTTTTTAATATCAGTTATAATTAAGAAAAAAATACGTATCGCGAAAAATAATATTGGTAAAATTACGGTAAGTATAATAAAATATTCGTGTGCATGCGTGATCATGAAAATTATATATATGGTATGTGAAATTATAAAATTTTGTTATTAAATTTATATATAAATTGTAAATAAATACTCACAGAAAAACATGCCGAAACGGTAGCGCGCCTACAGAAATATATAAAACTGTTTACTGCGCATCTCTTAGTCCATATTCTGCGCAAGTCGTACATACTTTTTAGCAACAGTTAAAGGGACGCAGTTAACAGTCTAGAGTATTATATAGAAGTCTGTGGATATACCATAGACATAGGGCAAGAGCACAGGCTTTTGCATAACACATAATATATAACACATAAGAGAATAAACCAATTAGTTTTCTTCATTTCCCTCCTCAGGACAGAAATGAAGAACTCTGATTGGTTGATTCTCTTATGTGTTGTGTATTATGCGTTATGCAGAAGTCTGTGCTTTGGCCCTTAAGGCCTATCCGGACAAACTTGCATAAGCGCGTAACGCATATGCATAAGGAAATTGACTAATCGTATGTTTAATACAAAAAATATTTTTTTACTACACGGATCATAATTGGTCAATTTCCTTATGCATATGCGTTACGCGCTTATGCAAGTTTGTCTGGATAGGCCTTAAGTCTATGGTATTGGACATCTTTATACTATCTAGTCTATGGTATTGGACATCTTTATACCATAGACATAGGAATATAGGGATAGAGCATAGAGTTGCGGGTTGCGGGGGAATAACTATTGGGGACGGTGCGACGAGATAAACTGTGCCTAAATCTAATTGGTGGTTGTGCCGTGTGTAAGTATTTGATTCAAACATAGATGTGTATAAAGTTGTGTGTGAGTGAAATTATGAAAAAAAGACATATGCATAACCTCTGCAAAATACTGTCAGTGTAAATAGTTCTTATCATTTTATTACATTTACTATTTGCCAGTGACAGCCAAGTCATTGCATCACATGCTCTGAATATGCGCACTATTATAGCCAATGAAACTTAGGCACAGCCGCCCCCCGCATTTCAACACAACTCCTCTCGCCTATGTTAAGGCTCGTCTACATTAGCTGTAAGAATAAGGCTGTAAGGTTGCAAGACACGAAATGAAATATTTTCATTCGCTGACAGCTTACGTTACAGCCTTACAGCTTTACTCTTACAGCTATTGTAGACGAGCCTTAACGGGCTTATGCTCTGTCCCTATATTCCTATGTCTATGCTTTATAACATAGTATATGATAGTTGCTTGAAGGTTAAAAATTATAAATTTAGTCAGTAGTGTTTATAGAGATTGTGTCTGTTATATCATGGACTACAAAGATGAGCAACACAATGAAATTGAAGCTTTAGAGTCAATTTATTGTGGTGAATTGGAAAGTATGTATTATTAAAAATTTCTGTATAACCTACCCTGTAATATTCAACAAATTTCACTTTATTGTGAGTACTTTAAATATGTACTGTTTCCAGTTTTAGCAATAGAGCCATTTTATACATTTGCTATACCAATTAAAACGGAAGAATATGAACCAGAAACTGAAAATGGACTTAGTTGCCGATTAGAATTTACATATACATCAAAGTATCCAGATGAACCATTACTTGTATCAATAACAGAACAGGAAAACTTTGATGAAGATGAGAAATTGAAAGCACATCTGGCGGAACAGATGAGCGAAAATCTTGGTATGGTAATGGTCTTTACATTAGTTAGTGCAGCACAAGAATGGCTTAATGTACAATGGGACAAAATAAAATTAAGAAGAGAAGAGACTGCAGCACAAAAATTAAAAGAGGAAGAGGAAGCTGAAAGAGTAAGTAAGATATCTAAAATAGGTTTACATCAGTAATTATTAAAACATTTTATTTTTTATAGAGACGATTTGAGGGGACTCGTGTAACCGTAGAAACTTTTCTAAGTTGGAAAGAAAAGTTTGATGAAGAAATGGGTTATAAAAAACGAAGGGAACTTGCAGATCGTGAAGGGAAAAAATTAACAGGGAGAGAATTATTTATGACTGATAAAACATTGGATCAGTCAGATCTTAAGTTCTTGGATGATGGTAACTAGTGAAACTTTATCTCTTAGTAAATTAGGATCCTGATCCCTATTTTGGAAGATGTCAGTACCCTAATATCTGATTTCTATTATATAGGTGATGTTGTGAAAGTGGATGAGAGTTTGTTTCAAAATCTAGACGACTTGGATTTAGATGATGAAGAGGACCTAGACTTTGATCCAAATATTTCAGACAATAGTGCCTAAATGTGTTTAATTTAGTAACTGTTGACGCAAAATGATATATAAACAATATATTATGAGGAAATTTATTAAATTATTATATAGTAACATATACTTGAGAGTATATTTATGCTAGAGCATTTCTTGTGAAGTAGATAAATATTATATCTGTATAAAAAGTAACATTATATGATAAATTAATTACTATTGAAATAGAAAATATGATAGTTTTACAATTAACCCATTATTAGATTCAAAAATTGAAAATATATACTTAAGGAATGAAAAATTACGTATGCGTGCACACGCGTGTGCGTGTGTGTGTATGCATGTGTAATGACTGAATCTTATAAAATTTTGGTTATTAAAGAAATATATCTTTTCCACAAAACAAGGGAATTTTTTTCCCTTCTCAATTGAATAAGATACACTTAAGTGTATAAATTAATTCTCAGTCCCTATATTATTAGGTCGTTCAATATGAAATGTCCGATTTCCTTAAGTACTAAAGCCAGCGGCACACGGTGCTTGTTTCGTGCTAGATTGCTTGCTGGATGAAAATATTGCGTTGTGATTGGTACATTTCCGAAGATAGATGGAAATGCACCAATCAGAACGCAGTATTTTCATCCAGCAAGCAATCCAGCACGAAAACAAGCACCGTGTGCCGCTGGCTTAAGTTCGACAGTCGATATCTCTGACATTTCACCTTTATAGTTCTTGGTTTTTTTCTTGTGAAGGTACGTCATCACTCTTTCAAATGCATGTTTTGGTTTATGATTATCTTTCGAAATGTCTTTGTTACAGCAATCTTTGTGTAACCATAGATAGGTTAAAAATTCGTGTTATTAAAATTCGTGTTAGTGCGCTGTTAACTAATCAGAAGGCATATTGCGTGGCTTTCCATTGGTTTCGTTGGTTAACAGCGCGCTAATTTGGGCTGCGTTCCGAAATTCACTGCCAGTACTGAAAATACATAGTTTGTGTCACCTATACTATAGAATTTCAGTGCTGGCAATGAATATCGGAACGCAGCCATAGTTATAAGCACGTTCTGAATATGGGCCTAGTGAAGATGTGGCTAATGAGCGCACAGTACGTCGATAGTTTGAGAAGTTTCATTCTGGCGATTTTAATCTTGAAAATGAGCCATGTGGGCGACCCGAGACCAAGGTGGATAATGATGAACTGAAAGCTATAATGGAAGCGGATATCTCAAACTCCGTGTGAATTAGCAGCAAGGTTTAACCAGAGAGAAACCTGAGAGCGGCCAACACGGCGTTTTCGGTGACACCGATTTTTCGCACTGGGAATGGGCGCTATCTGCATCCATTTTGAGAGAGAAACTACGATGCTACATCCACTTTTAGGTCTCGACGGTGAAACCTGCATCTGGTGGCTGTCCGTGCTACATCCACTTTCAGGCGGTTTATGTCCGTGCTACAACCATAATAGCGTACTTGACAAGCACGGTCTCGCGCATTGTTATGCATTTGTAACATGAATTAACATGTTAATATGCACAAAAAAAATAAGAATTGAGATTGTATATGATTAATATCATGAAGATTATATACGATTTATATCGATATATAAATATATGATAATAAGATAATATTTTGTGTGTACCCAAAATTATTTTTCCAAAATATTTCAGCGTTACGTTAGTATTTATTTATACTCCGGCAGGCGTTTTTTAGCGCAGTTGTGTCCGTATGCATGTGTTGCATTGAAAGTGTGCGTGACGTACGTGTACATATACGCATTCACACACACACACATACATACACACGTGTCATACGCAACAGATAGAATCTCAGGGTGTATGCTTAAACATTTTCAATTGCCGTACGTTTCTATGTAAGAATGTAGTCGGCACACACACACAGAGAAACTGCTCCCGTCTATCCGTCTGAAGTCCCGCCCACCGCTCGGCTTGTTTTGACGAGCCAAGTGAAAGAGAGAGAGAGAGGGAATGTGTTCGCTCCATCTCGCTCTGATTCGCAACGTTGCCGAGATTGTGCTTACCGACACACGGCCGAGACTGACGTTTCACTCTCGGCGTGAATCCAACGAGATGATCAATAGCAATCGATTTCGACTAAACTCGTTGTGTCAATAGATTTGCATGACAAATTAACATTGCACTTAAAGATACGGCGTAGCATTGAAGCGTTTGCAAGAAAGTCGCAATTGAAAATCGCGAATGCTCATGAACCAAATGAAGGAGCGAGCTTCTCAAAGAGCGTGTGGCTTGGTGGAAGTACGCTGGACTCGCGGGGTTGAGGTCGGTGGTTCGCATCTCCTTGGCGGTCGACGTTGTCCTTTTTCGCCAATCATTTTTTTTTTTTTTTTTTTTTTTAAGGAAAATGCACGTGTTGCATACAACATACGTGTATAACAATAAATTTCTTTTCATTTTTTAAGAAAATGCACGTATTGCATACAAAACACGGGCATCGCAAGCATTGCACGTTTCGTCGATGACACTTCCTCTGAGACCTCGCCCTCCGCTCGACTTGTTTCGATGAGCCAAGCAAAAGAGAGACAGAGAATGTGTTCGCTCCATCACCTCTGTGAAGATGGCCCTTCATTCTTCAAATTTGAAAAAAATTGTTAGAGTTCTGAATGCCCCTCGCAGAGTTCTAGAGTTCGCAATCCTTTATAGAAAGAGTTCCGTCATTTAAAGTAGAGAAAATACCATTTTAAAAATCGGAGGGCCAACTTCACGACGCCCCTCATTATGTAAAAAATGACAATTTTTTTAGAGTTCTAGATAGATTTTTAAGTTCTATAGTTCTAGATAAGTTTTAAAAATAGTTCTGTTTAAAACAATAAGAAAAATTATATTAAAAATTCTCGAATTAGAAAACGAAAAATGGCAAGAACTCTACCAATTTTGGTTTTAGCGCGTCGCGTGTTAATAATAATCTTTAGAACTCGTGAGGGGCTAACCAGAACTCTGAATAAAACATCGGATTTTCAAAAAAATTGATTGTTTATTAAACACGTAAAATTTTTTTTCGGAAATCCGATGTTTCATTCAGAGTTCTGGTTAACCCCTCACGAGTTCTGAAGATTATTATTAACACTCGGAGCGCTAAAACCAAAATTGGAAGAGTTCTCGCCGATCTTCGCCTCTCGGCTCTCTGAGCTAAGATCAAAGTCTAGTACTCGTGCATATATTCGAATGTATTCGAAAATGTAGGGTTTTGGAAGGACTTTATTTTGGTGCCAGAACCAGGCCTGTATCTCTAACCGTTTAGGAGATATCGAAGTTTAAAGTTTTCCAGCCTTTCTCCGTCGATATCCAGCCTTCCTCCGTCGATATCTCCGCTTCTACTGGGAATAGAGAGTTTGCCATGTAGTCGAAAATGTAGGGTTTTGAAAGGACTTTAATTTGGTACCAGAGCCAGGCCTGTATCTCTAACTGTTTAGGAGATATCGAAGATTAAAGTTTTCCAACCTTTCTCCGTTGATATCTCCGCTTCTACTGGGAGTAGAGAGTCGCCATTTACGGCAAAATGTAGGGTTTTGAGAGGACTTTAATTTGGTACCAGAGCCAGGCCTGTATCTCTAACCGTTTAGGAGATATCGAAGATTAAAGTTTTCCAACCTTTCTCCGTTGATATCTCCGCTTCTACTGGGAGTAGAGAGTCGCCATTTACGGCAAAATGTAGGGTTTTGAGAGGACTTTAATTTGGTACCAGAGCCAGGCCTGTATCTCTAACCGTTTAGGAGATATCGAAGTTTAGGTTTTCCAGCCTTACTCCGTCGATATCCAGCCTTCCTCCGTCGATATCACCGCTTCTACTGGGAGTAGAGAGTTTGCCATGTAGTCGAAAATGTAGGGTTTTGAAAGGGCTTTAATTTGGTACCAGTCCGAAGCCTGAATCTCTAACCGTTTAGGAGATATCGAAGGTTAAAGTTTTCCAACCTTTCTCCGTCGATATCTCCGCTTCCACTGGGAGTAGAGAGTCGTCCATGTAGTCCAAAATGTAGGGTTTTGAAAGGGCTTTAATTTGGTACCTGTCCGAAGCCTGTATCTCTAACCGTTTAGGAGATATCGAAGGTTAAAGTTTTCCAACCTTTCTCCGTCGATATCCAGTCTTCATCCGTCGATATCTCCGCTTCTACTGGGAGTAGAGAGTCGTCCATGTAGTCCAAAATGTAGGGTTTTGAAAGGGCTTTAATTTGGTACCTGTCCGAAGCCTGTATCTCTAACCGTTTAGGAGATATCGAAGGTTAAAGTTTTCCAACCTTTCTCCGTCGATATCTCCGCTTCTACTGGGAGTAGAGAGTCGTCCATGTAGTGCAAAATGTAGGGTTTTGAAAGGGCTTTAATTTGGTACCTGTCCGAAGCCTGTATCTCTAACCGTTTAGGAGATATCGAAGGTTAAAGTTTTCCAACCTTTCTCCGTCGATATCCAGTCTTCATCCGTCGATATCTCCGCTTCTACTGGGAGTAGAGAGTCGTCCATGTAGTCCAAAATGTAGGGTTTTGAAAGGGCTTTAATTTGGTACCCGTCCGAAGCCTGTATCTCTAACCGTTTAGGAGATATCGAAGGTTAAAGTTTTCCAACCTTTCTCCGTCGATATCTCCGCTTCTAATGGGAGTAGAGAGTCGTCCATGTAGTGCAAAATGTAGGGTTTTGAAAGGGCTTTAATTTGGTACCTGTCCGAAGCCTGTATCTCTAACCGTTTAGGAGATATCGAAGGTTAAAGTTTTCCAACCTTTCTCCGTCGATATCCAGTCTTCATCCGTCGATATCTCCGCTTCTACTGGGAGTAGAGAGTCGTCCATGTAGTCCAAAATGTAGGATTTTGAAAGGGCTTTAATTTGGTACCCGTCCGAAGCCTGTATCTCTAACCGTTTAGGAGATATCGAAGGTTAAAGTTTTCCAACCTTTCTCCGTCGATATCTCCGCTTCTACTGGGAGTAGAGAGTCGTCCATGTAGTGCAAAATGTAGGGTTTTGAAAGGGCTTTAATTTGGTACCTGTCCGAAGCCTGTATCTCTAACCGTTTAGGAGATATCGAAGGTTAAAGTTTTCCAACCTTTCTCCGTCGATATCCAGTCTTCATCCGTCGATATCTCCGCTTCTACTG